TTAGAGCATACATATATATACTATTCCCTTCTCACCCACCGCGGGTGGTTCTTATCCTCTGAGCTCGGGTCCTCTACCAGAGGCCTGGGAGCTTGAGGGTTCTGCGCAGTATCTTGGCTGTGCCAAGGACTGCACATTTCTGGACTGAGATGTCTGATGTTGTTCCTGGGATCTGTTGTAGCCATTGCTCCAGTTTGGGGGTTACTGCCCCGAGGGCCCCGATGACCACAGGCACCACTGTGGTCTTCACCTTCCAGGCCCTCTCCAGTTCTTCCCTGAGGCCCTGGTATTTCTCCAGTTTCTCGTGCTCCTTTTTCCTGATGTTGCAATCACTTGGTATTGCTACATCTACCACAACGGCTTTCCTCTGTTGTTTATCCACTACGACAATGTCTGGTTGGTTCGCCATTACCATTCTGTCTGTCTGGATCTGGAAGTCCCACAGGATCTTAGCTCTGGCGTTCTCCACCACCTTTGGGGGTGTTTCCCACTTTGATCTCGGGGTTTCCAGTCCATATTCTGCACAGATGTTTCTGTAGACTATGCCTGCCACTTGGTTATGTCGTTCCATGTACGCTTTCCCTGCCAGTATCTTGCACCCTGCTATGATGTGCTGGACTGTCTCAGGGGCCTCCTTGCACAACCTACACCTTGGGTCTTGTCTGGTGTGGTAGATCTGGGCCTCTATTGCTCTGGTGTTTAGGGCCTTTTCCTGGGCGGCCAGGATGAGGGCCTCTGTATATATATATACATCATAGCGGCCAAGATAAGCAAACACATGGATAAACACATGAGCATGGCACAGAAAGGTATCGGTGTAAATAGCAGAGGAGCCAAACACCAACTCCTCGCACAGTTGCCCGAGACTGCAAAACCCGACACACCAACCTGTGCATGGCTTGGATCGATTACAAGAAAGCCTATGACTCAATGCCGCATACTTGGATCATTGAATGCCTAGAGATGTATAACATCAACAGGATTCTGAGAGCCTTCATTGCAAACTCGATGAGGCTGTGGAAAACCACCCTTCAAGCCAACTGCAAACCACTTGCACAAGCGTCCATCAAATGTGGCATATACCAAGGAGATGCTCTGTCCCCGCTACTGTTCTGCATAGGCCTGAACCCCCTCAGCCAAATTATCAACAAGACTGACTACGGATACCGACTCTAAAATGGGGCCAACATCAGTCACCTCCTCTACATGGATGACATCAAGCTGTGTGCCAAGAGTGAGCGAGACATCGACTCACTGATCCACACCACCAGGATCTACAGCACTGACATTGGGATGTCATTCGGACTAGAGAAGTGTGGTCGGCTGATCACAAAGAGGGGGAAGGTGATCCGCACAGAAGGAGTCTCACTCCCACAAGGAACAATAGCAGACATAGAGGACAGTTATAAGTACCTAGGTATACCACAAGCAAATGGCAACCTCGATGAGGCCACAAGGAAAGGAGCCACAGCTAAATACCTCCAACGAATAAGGCAAGTTATTTTAAGTAATGTGACAAAATAGGAGACATATGTATTACATGAGCAAACATTTAGGATATTTTAGCCCTTTCTAGCTAATGTCATAGCCTTTGGCTTACATAATTCTAGTAAAGCATTTTTTGTAGACGTCTCCCAGTCTACCAGTCTACCAGTTTACTTTCAGTTACATGTTTGAGGAATTTCTTACATGTCCAGATTTCAAATCAATCCAGATTGCCCTGATGAGATCAAGTTGTGGGCTTTGATTCTGTTTACAACCAGTCCTTGGTGGATATACTGATTTGTTTTAGGTCATGGTTTTGTTATGGAGGATGTGGTTCTACTCCATGCAGTTGAAAAAACTCCAATCTCTCTTGTTATTTTTCTGCCATCTCAGGAAACAGACTTTAAACAACAGGAATGTTATGATGTAAAAGTTGAACAATGTAACTTTTTAAAAGGATGGCATTATGCAAAATCATCAACTTTTCTGAGCTTTATGTCATGTTAAAATGTTATTCCCTCTTCAAAAACAAACCTGGAGTGGTGCTTTGATTATTTCATACATGTTTGAGGAATACTTAGATCTGGCCGCCATTCGGGGTGCCTAACTGGCGCCTAATTACCCAAAGTTTCTACTTGGAGCTCTTGTCCACAGTCGAGCTTTCACATCACCTCTCTCCTCCTGACACTTCCACTTAGCTCCACCAGCCTAGTGGCAACAGCAATTATCAAACACTTTGTGGAACTGCAAGTCTGGTGAGCTTATCCAACAAAATACAACGCGCTTTAGAATGATTGTAAATGGTATAAAGGCAAAGTATGATGAGTTGTAATGATGCGCTGAATGGTGAGTCAAAGAAAGAGAATTTCAAGGCATCAGAGGCAGTTATGATGGAAAGTCAAATTTTTTTTAAGTTGTTTTTGTTATATACAGCAGCTTCATAACAAGTGACGGTAACACAGTTACCTCAATGTGGTATAAAATGACACTATGTGCCTGGAAAGTACATAATACCCTCTTTTAAAAACCACAGGATACCTTCATAGTGGTTATCATGATAGATGGTTGCTGTGCAACATTATGCTGACAAGAACAGGTATAATCACTTTAAATGTTGATCTAAGTAAGAAGAATTAAAAACCTTGCAAACCGCTGGAGCCCAGGAATGGAGGGTGAAGAAATCAAACAGGAAGCAAGGCAGAATAAAATGATGTTCAACACAAGGGCCTGACAAGGGATTGACTGAAATGAGGTATATTTATGTAAGCGAGGTTGATTACTGTAATCCTGAACAGATAAGTCTAATTACAGACTGATGAACAGTTGAGGGAGAGCTGAAGCACCGGGGAAAGTAAATGTAGAAACACAGTGACTTGGAGAAAAACTCTACAGAAACAATGACAAGGAAACTTTTTAATCAGTCAAAACCAAACCACAGCCCCGTGAAACGGCTGAGAACAAAATATTAAATGTTTTCATAGACAAGTAACTCTCCATTGCAAATGTAACAATGGCTGAAAGGTTCTTAAAATACTGTTTGCATATCTTCTTGTCTCCCTCCTGCTGCCCGGAAGCTTCAGCCTCTGGAACCATAATGTATGTTTACACAAAAGGAAAGACACCACAAGCATTATGTGGTGCGACTGACATATTAACTGCTTTTGACAGAACCTGACCTCAGATAACATGAAGGATAAAATCACTTTATGGTGAGACTCTGATGTCTCAAGTATTCATTGGACATTTCACATCACAGGCGGTCTGTCCCAGCCTCTTCCACATACCAGCTGATTGGCCGTGACGAGTCCCAGACTGCCAGTCACCTCCCTGTTCCAACTGAGCATGGAAGCTGTCTGTTACTGCAACACTTAAAGCTACAGACAGCTGAACAGACTCAGACCATGGGGTAACAGCGTTACAAAAATACTTTTTTTTTTTAATTCATGGAGTTTGACTCGCTTTTTGAATTGCATTGAGGTTTTATGTGGACAACTTTCTTGAGCGCAGACTGAGAAATGCAGATTTTTATTTTTATTTTTTGCTTTTACATCTTAATCTGAGAGCATCTCGACTTGGATGTGGATGGGTCATGGTGAAAGATCCTTATTTGTTAAATTATCTCTGCAAAAAGAACCTTCTTTCATCGCACTCGGAGTTACGTTTTCAGCCAATTTTCTACCCAGCAGCTGAAGCTCGTATCTTCAACGACATGTCTGCTTTCAATAAACCCAGGTAACTGTTGAAACTTCTCAGGTTAACAAGCTGTAACTAACTAGCTGTGTTACGAGTATATTGACAGACGTATATCAGTACAAAAGGAGAATGTAGATTCAACAGGTGATGAACAAACTGGCAGCAAATTTGTGAATGAATGGATTTTTACTCCTCTGGCACAGTGGTTAAAGAGCCTGTCTGCATCCCTGTGTGAGAGGCTTCCCACACTAATGCACTATTCTTTGATAGTTAAAACAGCAGCGTGGGGGTTTTCACTTGTCCTGATTTGGCCAGGAAGTGGAATGAAAGGCTCACAGCCACAGAGAAGCGCCAAGTTTTCTTTAATGACAATAAAATTTTTTTTTTAAACAACCCTTTCAAGTGCAGCTCTAATGGCTGGTAACATTGTTCTCTGTTCCTGTAATTTACAGCAAATTGTAAAAAACATTTATGTCTCTTTAACTTTTTTAGATTTTATGACTTTTCAACTTCAATGTATTTACCTGGAATCTAAATTGCTAGACCAAAATGTTCTCAAACTTTTTATACCAAGAACCACCTAAGAACATACCAAGTTTTCCAAATACCATCATTAGAACAAACTTAGAATCCAGAAAAATGTCCTTAGCAACTACATTTTAGACTCCTATTTTTCCAACCCTGACAAGGAATTAGACAAGAATCGGAATCTCTAGTTTATCTAGTTAATGTACTTTGGATCAACATTATTAGTCTATATTTTAGACTCCTGTTCTTCCAACCCAGAAATGTAATTACACCAGGGGACACTTAGCAACCTTGAACAGGAATACCTAGTTTACATTTTTTAGATCAAGATCCCTTTTCTTCTTTTGCTCTTTCCTTTGGTTTTTTTTTTTTTTTTTGTATTTCCTTTTAATTCCTGCAAAGCGCTTTGTATTGCCTCGTTGCTGAAAATGTGCTATATGAATAAAATTACCTTTACCTTCTACCATCAATTTGGAATACATTTTAAAAGGTACTGCAACTCAATTGGGTCTTTTGTTCAAATAATAATAAAAAAAAAGACATGCCTCATTTTCATGCCGAGTTGTTGTCCATAAAATACATGACAGTTTGAGGTTGCAAAGCAGCAAAATTAGAAAATGTTCAAGGGGTGTAAGGAGTTTTTTAAGGAGCTTTATTTATTTAATGTCGTTTGTTACGTTCTTCTGCCTCATGCGGGGGTTTGTTTAAGGGTATTAAGGAAAAACTTGTTGATCATGTATGTGTTAAAAATTGACACCAATGTCTTATGCTAGACTTTCTAACCTCTCTTACAGGACACTGCACCAGCAGTTTGAGAGCTACAAACAGGAAGTGCGTCGCATCGGGGTCGAGACGCGACGTCAGCAAATGCAGCAGAAGGACGACGCTCCCACCTGCGGCATTTGCCGCAAGACCAAGTTCGCTGATGGTTGTGGCCATCTCTGCTCATACTGCCAGACCAAATTCTGCGCTCGCTGTGGGGGGCGGGTATCTTTGCGCTCCAACAATGTAAGAATCTTTAACTCTAAATTCCTCCTCTTTATTTCTTCACACACTCACCTCATCCCTGCTGCAGATAATATACAGCTAGTCCTTCTGCTTTTGTGCTGTGTTTGTATGCTTTCTCCTCTTGCTTCCTTGCACACTTTGAAGAAACCAAAGTGTCCCAAAAAGAATGGCTTTACTCCCGACATATGCCTTTCAAAGCTTTCTTTTAAAATAAAATTGAGGGTTTTAGTGTTGTGGAATGATTATGAACTGAACCACCTTGAACATGAAAGCACACTAGTTTTGGCTTTTGTGTTGTGATGACACTGTATTTGTCAAAGTAAGCATGTCAGCCTTTGATAGTGTTGCTTTTCTCAAGCCACATCTCCAGGACAGCACAGAAAAGAACAAGAGTAGCTAGCTTCAGGCTGCATTTCACTCAACTCTTATCTCTTCAGAATATGACTGTTACCATAAAAACAGAGACACTGTGTCTGTTGATGGGTGCAGACTAGTTCAAATGAACTAGTCTGAGACTAAACTGGACTACTCTACACTGAACACAATTTACAACCCACCGTTTTCATAAATGGCATCGTTTGACCAATAATGGAGATTATTTACTGGAGTTTAATAATCTTTTGACACAGTGAAATAGTTGTTTTCTTGAGTGCCTAACCAGAGATAAACTTTGATGATGTCATAGCCATCTATCTACAACTACTGCTAACGCATTAGCAAGCATGTATATGACATCTCAACTTGAATACTCTCAGTTTAACTTTTTGTTTCAGTGTGTAGTCTGTCACAAAACATTCAGATGTAGAATTTCTTATAGCTGAACCTAAAATAAACCTCTTTATCTAGCTACAGGTATGCAATGTTTCCCTGTTAGAGCTATATTTTATCTGTTTTATGGCCAAATTTATGATATTAAATTCGTGATTGGTGTACATATAGGTTTTGCTTTGCAAAGTCTGAATTGCACACTAATATGTGACTTTCGGAGTTGTGGTAAATCAACATTAAGAAAATGATCTGAGAGAGTTCATCTATTAAAGTGAAAACTTCAAAGTTACACCTTCTCTATGAAGCTAAAATCTGTTAATAATCTTCTGGATTTAATTCAATAACTAATGAACACAACACATGAGGACTCTGACGAGCAATAGTCATATTTGAAAAGATTGAAGGAGCAAAACCCTTAGCTATAAAAAATAAAATAATGGTAAGGTTGCTCCAGATTGGAACAGTGTGATTTCCAACCAATAACCAAACATTTTTGTGCTATTTTAGGACCCAACCCTCCTCCATCTAAGCCTTTTCTGGGCTCCCCTCCAACCGAGGAGAGAACACTCCTTCTGCTTACTTTACCTGATTCTCGGCCCGTCATCCTCAGCATGCTGGTGGACAATCTGTTCAGTGTCCGCTCATCCCGGCTGGGACTAGATTCACACTGGGAACACATATACCTAGGTCTGAAAATATCACTCAGATTATTGGATAAAGATAGTTTCCAAGCTGGTGAATTCATTCATCTCTCTTTAAATGCAAGACATGTTGAAATGTCGAAGTGAAAAGACTAACATGATCATTAACTATAACAAATTAAAGTCAAATCAGATTGCCCTCACAGTGAATTGTGAATCACAGAACAAATGTTTTTTGTACTCCCAGTCCAATAATTGAATCTTCTAAATCTTCTAAATACCATCAACTAATTTGGTGAAATTTGTGCTTTGTCTAATATGCTGAAAAAATCTGGTCTTGTTTTTTAGTTCAAGGCTTGTGATTTTTAGTATAATCTTACTTTAAAAGCCTGTCTTCACAGTTCTTTCTTATTATTGTTTGTTAATTAATTCATGTTAAACACCAGAACAATAAATTAAGCAAAACATTGCACACTGCACTAAAACCTAGTAAAATGAATGCATTAGAATGAAACTTTTGAATACTACCAGAATCCATGGATGAAAACTTACATAGGCACAATTAAATGTGGCAGGGGGAATATTTTATTTGTGGTGGACCATCCAATATGTAAGGGCGATCAGTCAAGTGACTGTTCTTGGTTTACATCTTAAAACAGCCAGCTATCATGAATACACCGTCGACTGGTATTATTATAACTTTGTAGCACAAGGATTTTAATTTTCGCTTCAGCTTACAGTAAGCGTTGGATATTTTCTTTATCGCTTTTACTGGTGGTTTGTGGCACAGAAATTAGTGGTTCCTTGTTCAGCCTTCTTTATCACAGTTCCAATTGTTTTAACATTATAACAATTTCTTGAGGTATAAGAAAGTTAAGCAGAAAAGTGATTCTTGCCGTTCAATGATTTATGATGATAATCAGGGATATCGCTGTATATCATGTCATTAATTCAGCACAATAGAAAGCCATTGATAACTCATTTAATGCTCATGTCTACTCAACAAAGTATATTTTAAAATTCTTAAAATACTCTAAATTTGTTGGTGATACTAGTGGATGTTTGTTTACGTGTTCCCAGTAATTAACAAGACATAGAAAAGTTAAATTTTGTCTCTACATTTCCGCTGTGTGAAATTACCCTACAAAAAATGAAGGAATTTATTTTAAGGTTTCTAGTTTTACACATTTTAAGTAGTGGTTTAAAAACGACAGCAAGGTACTACACAAAATTTCTGTGGTATAAATAACTGGATAAATATAAAGTATTTAAAAGAGTTAGCATGTGCTTAGAAGGCTAGAAAGAACGAACATGGAGGAATGTGGCTTTTGATTAGCTGAGTTCCTTCCACCTTTTGCAGGGGAGGTGTAGCCTGATGTCATGCTAGGATCATGCCAAGCTGGCTCATGCATGCACCCGTGGCAGCATTTACATTAAGTTGTGTCCACCATCTTAAGACTCACTAAATATGAAATATGTTTAAATATCCTGCAGAATGCAACTAACAAGTTCTGCACCAAATCCTCTGTCTCCCTTCTTTCTTTTGCCACTTTTTCTTTCACAATATCCACATCATTCATTCCCCTCCCTCTGCATTTTACTTCTTGCATCGTTTCTGCTATCAAAACATGTCTTCCTTTCCTCTTTTCTCCAATCCTTTTTTTCATTTTTCCTAATTCTCTCTGCTACCTGGACTGCATGCCACAAAGGAGGACAAAGTGGTTAGCATCTCTTTTGTGTTCTCTCTGCGCCACAAATGTGATGTGTTTGCCCTCTAAGGGTTAAATAAAAGATACTGGCTGCTTTCAGATCTGGAGCTAAGACCTCTCAGGTGTTCACAACATGAAACATCATTGGAAATATGAAAAATTGTGTCATGTAACCTTTTGCTTGGTGTGTAATTTCCAATCTTAAAGAAAGAAAAGGAGATTAATTTATGAAACCCAAGAGAGAAAGCTATCAGTTTGGAATGAAGCCAGTGTTTGCATAAATCCACTGATGGATTATTGAATCCACTGAGCAGACGGAGTTTTTGTCTCAGAGCGTCTATCATACTTTTCATCAACTTTTTGGGTTAGAAACTCGCAGCTGATGTGATCAAAAGTATTTTTTTAAATCTTCATGACTAACCCTGTGTCCATTGTTTGTCTCCTCCCCTTGCAAAGTGTCTCATAGTGAAGGACAGGGTAAGGACTGTTTGGTAATAGATTATTTTTTGCATGGGTCACAGATATTGTTCCCTCTCCCACATTCAGGTCTGTGCTCATTCACAGTTTCAGAGGTGAAATGCAGGGTTAGTGTCAATTCTTTTGGCTCATATGGTTTACCAAAGCTGCGAATGAGTTCAGACACTGAAACTCCACTAAGAAGCAGACCAAGCATGAGGAATAACACAAGCTGTCTTCAGCGTTCGACCCTCTATTAGCAGTCTCCTGACCCTTCTTCCCATGGCTGTGGGCATGACTGTGCTGGGAGAGGGGGGATCTTAAAGATTAGATGTGGGTGATTGGCACTGTGCGGTACAATGAATATACCGTAACAATAAATTTTCCCCCACAAAGCTTTCTCCTGAAAACACAATGATGCCTGTGCACGTTTCCCTGTTTTTGTGTTTGAGATGAGAGCAGCCTTATCACGGGCTGAGTTCAAGTTCACTTGTTCCTCTTAGTTTTCTTCAAAAAAACATGTCCAACTTGACCATCCATCAAGTTTGTTACTACTATTCCTACTCTAGTAGGCCAAAGGAAGCAAAGCAAATGCTACCTGTAGAGCAGGGCTCTTCTCAGCCTCTAAAGATTGTGAGTATTTCAGTATTTAAAGGGGCAGTATTGTATAAAATAATTTTTTTTTAGCTTTACATTTACATTATTCCCTCATCAAAATCATTCCTGGAGTGTTGCTTTAATTCTTTTAGAGATATTTAAGAAATTCTTTAATTTCTTGTGGCAACTATTCAGCTGTGCAAAATGGTTGAGAAGATTGAGCACTGCCTTAGAGGACAAAGCTCCTACTTGGAGCTGCAGTTTCCAAGCATGTATTCTACCTGATGAGTGACAGGTTGGCTTTCTCCCTTTTGTTCTGCAAAAATTACCACCAGCTTTCAACAGATGGCATTTTTTCCACAAAAACTGCAAAAACATAGTATTTAAAGATGCAATATTTTTTTTGCTCCAGCTGCAATATAAACAAATTGTTGGGCTTATTCTAAAATATATTCATTATTGTTGAAAAGTTTTTTTCTGTTCAAGGTTTCTTGTCCTTTTTCTCATATTTTGGTTACACATGTTTTATATCAAACTGGTTTTATTATCAGACAAACTAAGTAATAACAAATGCACCAAATTATTATTTAATAATCAAGTCATCCAAGCCAACTTGGGCATTGTGAAAAGTAATTGTCCACTAACGTGATAATGCCATGAAGCATTTGGAATAACTGGGAATAAATCTTTTACATCACTGTGGAGGAATTTTGGACCGTCAGAGAATTATTTCATTTCAGCCGCACCTGGGAATTTCCAAGCATGAGCAGCTAATATGTTGATAGTGTGTGCAGGAGCTGGCTGCTTTTTGTGTTGTCAGTTTTACTTTTCTTATGCAGGCATGATCTCCACTGGAACACATCTGACCTAATTAGGAAAGAGTATTTAGAAGAGCGGTTTCTCTGAAGGAGAAGCCAAATGTATTTTTTTTAAATTGTGGTAATCTGGTTTTTCTAGACCTTTGTTAAATATTTTGTGACTCAACTCTTACCTAAGTTATCTTCCTCCTCGCTGTCCAGTCTCCTCCTGATGTCTTCTCTTTGGACTTCCCAGCCTTCACGCTCCATCATCTCTTCGGCTCTTTTAACTCTCTCCACATCCTCCATTGTCTGTCTCTTTGTCACTTCTCTCGTGCCCATCTAGAATCTCTCTGGATTTCTGCCACGCACCCACTTGTATATCCACCAATTACTCTCCACCACTCCTCCTGAAACAGACAAACTCATGTTCTGTGGATGCTCGTAATTCCCTTGAATTTTCATCGTCCCTCCTTAACAGTAGGACAAACTCCAGTAGGACTAACTCCATCTCCAATTATTCATCTCCTCTTCCTGCAAGATCATATGTCTCTTTTCCATTGTGGATGCTGGTCCATTCTGACTCCTGCCAGACCAACACTTATTTCAATAAATCTTTTCAAACTGTTTAGTCTGTCTGTAATGGATACCTGCACTTGAGTTTAAGAAAAAAACAAACAAACAAAAAAAAAACAGTTTTAAATAGCATTTGCATTTCAGTCTTGTCCTATCATAGCAGCAGTTATTTTTATTATTTAAATCTCTGTCAAAAGGGGCAATTACTTTATCACAGGAACTTTCCCTTTTCTTCTTAATAAATCAAATTATTTAAAAACAGCTTTTTGTATCGTCTAAGGTGACCTTTCTCTGATAGAATTTGTTTCTTGATCTGTAGTTGAGCATAGAAAAAGAAAAACACGGGTCTCTAAAGGGAACAAATACTTTTTCACACTTATTGACTCATGGAAATGTTGGCAAACTGCATCGGTGCAAAGAGATACTGCTTCAGGGGCATATCTGCCTGTGGCAGCACAATCTTCCACAGTATGTGATCCATCATGTTCAGTGCTGTTATCCTTCAATGCAGAAAAAAAAATCCTTGTGTTATTGAATCACCTTGCTCTTATAATGCTTTCTTTAGCTTTTTACTTCTACTGCTAAGTTATTCTCTGCAATATTTGATATGTAGTGAGCAAAAACGGCTAACGGTCATGAAAATAAAATCGATCTCTTTTTCAATATGCCATCTACATTTCATCTGAAGATCAAATCTGTTTGACATAAATAAATATGCACGAAGAAAAAATGGCAACAAGCCGATGGTGTAAATGTGCATACCTTTTGACAAAGGATTTGTCAAAAGGTATGCAAAAATACTGCAAAAAATTATAGAATAATAGAGAAGATGTACTTTTATAATCCCCAAAAAGAACATTTGTTATTCATTTGGCCACAGGAAATAACTTATATAATTCAGTGAGTATAAATGATGTAATATTTATGGCCACCTCATTCTTAGAGCAACCCTAAACTGTGTGAGGAAGCTGATGTCTGTTATTTAGTCCTTTTTGTGAAACAACTGCCCTGCTTGTGTTGGTGTTGTTGCTTGCTAAAGGCTCATTGTTTATGTGTGTTTAATGTCAGCTCCAGATGGCTCCCAGAAAGGAAACTAACTGCTGACAAGCCATCTCCTGTGTGGAGGAGCAGCACTGCCTCCCAGTGGAGGGCAGACAAATGCTGGGGTGCTAAACACATATTTGGTGCCGATGTAAAAAAAGAAGATCTTTGTGTCATGTGAACTATTATTTATGATCAAACTTCATACCGAGTTACATTTTAGCTCTTCCTTAGGCATCTTAGGCTTGTTTGCATATTTTAGTATCTTGTCAGTTTTAATTAAGTTTATGTGCGGTAAAAGTAAGATGCACTCAGACACATCCACAGAAAATGTTTCTTACTTTCTGCTTAAAGCTTGCACTGCACTTCCTATACTGCACTGTGTACTGCATAATCTTAGTCATGTTTGTCAGTACTGGATGACTAACCTTCTCTGCTCACACTCCAGCTCTATCTTCTCCTCCAGCTCAGATGCCTCCATAAAACTCCTACGGAGCCTGTCCACTTATGTCTCCATTTAGCATCCTTCTGTTGCATGTCTCTATTTCTGTAGCCCCTCCAAACATACACGTCTGCTGTTATATTTTTTCAAAACAGTGCACATGCTAATTAATTGTGATAATTAAAAGTAAAGTCCCCATTTAGAGTTTAAGAGATGCCCGCTCAGAAACAAAATTCCTTGTTGAAAGAAAATTATTCTAAATCTAAATCTGCTTGTGATTTGAATTATTTTGAACTTCATCTTAATATGTAATGTTGCACTGGTAATTGTGCTATCTGAGTTCACAAAAAATAAATTGAAAACACTTTTTTGAATTACTCAGCCAGAATGAAAAAGTAAGTAAAATAATATTTTTTCTGCTATCATTCAGTTAATCATTTTGTGTCAGGTCAGAAAAATATTCTGATTAAGGAAGTTATTTTTAAACTATTATTAGTTTAAGGGTAATTTGCATTTTTAGCTCCAATTCAAAAATAAGAAAAAATATGAATAAGAAAAAAACCTTCAATTTTTGGCATATTTTATGTTGTACACCATAAAATTTATGAATTTTAGATTTACCTATTTGTTGTTACACTTTTTATTCCTAAAAGACCAAAAAAAAAAACCATTCTGGCACTGTTCACAAATCAGTGTAGTTGACAAGGCAGCATGCGTCATTCTAAAATCTCTGCTATCTCTACTTTTGTCCATTATTGCCACCATCTTTGAAATTCTAAATTGTGCTTGTGAAACTCTATCATGTCATGTTTTTGACTCTCATTAAATGTTTATCATTTATGTCGAGAGCAGTGAAAAACGGCTAAAAGTCGTCTCTACAGCCGGTGAAAACGAAATGAAGATCTTGTGGATTTACAGCCTCAACAGATGTGCTGTTGTGCTTTCAGCTGATCTCCACCCTCTCTGTGCTTCCTGCTTGTAGAGTTGATCTACTGCCTTATTAAGAGAAATGGTGCATTATGTCTTTTGCGGTCGTCTTTCTTCCAACCATTCAGGATTTACCACTCAGCCATGAACGATGGCACTTTACGCCTGCCGCTGCCTCATATGTCAAGCTGTCTGGTTGTGTGTTGAATGCTGGGTTCCCTGCATTCTGGTGTTCCCTGCAGCAGACTGCCCCCTCCTCACTGATCTATCACCCTCATGACGCCCATCCATTCTTGCACTTTATGGAAAGCTGATGCTCACTCGTTTAGAAGCTTGAATGAAAGCATCTCACTGCTGTAAGCAGAACTGCTGCAGCGATGCACGACTTCACCATTTGGTTAGCAGATGCACAGAGGAAACATGTGGGTGGGAGAGGAAGGGGGTCTGTTTTTAGTATAGATGTTTGAATGGCAGATGTGTGGTGTCTTCATTTGTCAAATCAGACTGGTGTACCCTGCCTGTATGCTGATGAGACAGAATGACATTACAAGGGAAAAAAGAAAGTCAAGAAAAGGAAGCAAGGGAAAAAAGGGAGAAAAAAACCTTGAACAATTGTTTAAGGTTTTTCCATGCTATAGCTATAAACCCTAAGCTATTAGAAGCATTTTGCCAATAAATGATTTATAATAAGTTTTCAAAAATAGCCCAGAGTTGTGGAGATAATTTCCTAAAACAGTAAAGTCCTGCAGCTTATGGGCATATATATATATGTGCAAATAAAATTAAATTTTTGCTCATCCAAAAGACATGTACATGAGAAATTCTGAGTCCAAATGAATTTTCAAAGGAACAAAGTTTCACTATTACATATGAGAGTAATCTAACAATATAGGAGCATAGTTAATCCAGATAGCACTTCTAAAAACTACTGCCTGTGTGTATCTCTGTAGTGTGGGAGCCTACTTACCTTAACTGAGGGACTTCAAAAGGACCTAACATATAAATTACTGAACTCTTTGGAAGGCAAAACTGGTGTTTTATTTTTGTAAGGATAAAACAGCAGCTCTAACATGAAGGTGCAGCTGCCGAGCTTTCTGTTGAAGCACTTCAAATGAAAACAAAAGAGCCTTGGTAAAAATACAGACTTGTTTCTTTATTTAAAAAAACAGCACAACAAAAACAAACACCGATGCTGCAAATAGCCAACGAAGTGTTTGCCTTTCAGTAACAGCTTCCACACTAATGAGAGCTGGAGTTAATGTTGCTTACTACCTGTGTCTAGTTAATTAACTGGTCTTAAGAAGACTGGGATTTATGGTTCCCAATGAGGTACGATTTAGTACCCATAGGTTGAAATCTGTCTTAAAAACTGAGTTGACTTTGCTGAATAAATATTTGGAGACAACTCAGAAGAACAGCTCTTTCTATCAATTATTTGGAGAAACATGTTTAAGTGAAGCTGAGGCAAGCTCTGGTGTTATTCAGACGATATAAAATGCTTTGTTTAACCCAATGGCATTAAATTCAGGTTGATAGGTAAAGTAGCAACTATTCTATTTGTTTTCAAGTCTTATAATCATTAAATATATTTACAAATATATTTGTACATATACACACACATATACACATATATATATATACTAACAGTAAAATTTGTTTTGAGGGAAAATATATATATATTGAAATGCATATTGTGTTATATATATATATATATATATATATATATATATATATATATATATATATATATATATATATATATATATGTAAGTATTTGCTTTACTCTTAAGGCAAAAAAACAAAACAAAAACAAAAAATAAACAGGAGAAAAAGAAAAAGCACAAGGAAGCTCTAAGGGTCTTCAAAGCCAAAACAACAAACAAAACGCCCCCATATAGCTTCATCTTTAACAATAACAAAAGAGTGCAGAGCCTGAGCTTCCTGTCTGCCCACAAAACAAGAGAAAAGGGGATTAAGCAAAAACAGCAGAGAACCCCTACCAGCTTCTACTGTGAATAAAGAAACTTGCCTTTTAGAAGTGCACAGTTACGCACAGAGAAATAATCACAGCAGGATGCTCAAGTGCACAATGCAGACAAGATCACTGTAGATCAAGTACCAGGGAGAAGAGGCTTGACACTTGAGACGGAGTTCTTTAAGCAGTGGTTGATGATCTGCTGCATGTCTCAGCTGTGGCAGTCAGACAGAGCTGATACAAAAGCAGACGAAAGAGCTCTCTTGTGAGGACAACCCCCAGAGGTCAGCGACCGCAACAGTAGAGAGTTGAGGATTGCGAGCAGGGTATTCTCAGTTAATGATGAGCCGAATAATAGTGAGAAAATGAAAGGATTACTGGTCACTTCTAATCTGCTGGCCGTCAGCTGAAGAGGAAAGTCAGAGGGGGGAAAGAGGTGGCAGTGTGAGGCTGGGCGGCAGCCTGACAGCTGTGTGGAGCGCGAGCAGCTGATTTAGCTTTAGATTGGTCTGGACATGCGCCAACTGGGATTCAATCAGGCCATGATGAATGTGGTTTGGCATACTGAAGGCTAAACGCTAAACTGACTGCTAAATGCATCTCAGTGGCTGTCAAGGAGTGGCTTTTTGTATTTTTTTTAAAGGCCAAGGAGGTGTTTTTGTTTTGTGCAGCGGTTATGCAGCGGAACACATAGGAACGTCTGTGTTTCTTTGCTTCTTTGGATTTATTCTCTGCAAAATAAACCAGGGGGATTATAAATGCGGAGGGAGATAAATCCTGTTTTTGTGCTGTCGAAGTGAGGTGATATTCAGTAGCCATGGCTACATGTAAGTATTAGAAGTCTGCAGAGGTTTTGTGAAGAAGAATGAAATATCCTTTATGTCCTTTTATCAAATTTGAATGCACCAGTGTCATTTTTTGAGAACAAACTATGCATCCATTTACTGTGCATCGCAAAAAAAACACTCCCTTCCAGCAACATCAAACTTAAAAGAACATCATGTAAAATACTTTTGGTCACAAAACCAAATATTTATCTTTGCGTGACCTAAAATGACTTGAAATTTTACAGATTTGTTGTATTATCAGAATGCATTAGTGATATAAGTTTTAATTAAGCAGTTTTTTATTTGTTATAATATTTGCTATGCCTGAATCACCACAACTTGCAATAAGAAAATTTAAGGTATGTAACTGATATTCAGTTAAATTATTTCTAAATTAAGTTTATATCTAAAAAATAAGCTTCTCTCTGGAGTTATCAGTTTATTTTGCCCCTTTGCTGTTTTAAACCCTCTAGTAATTTTTCCTATTTCAGGTTATGATTCTCAACAACAAACTATTTCATGCATTTAGCCAAATGACCTTTTTTGAAGCATAGCACTTTTATGCCTTTTGGAAATAGTCATAAAAAGTTAACGTCTCAAATAAAATTTGACTGACGTACCCATTCAGAGAAGACGGGATATTAAGGCATATTTCCTTTTGCTATTCAAATCTCTTTTTGGGATAGTTCATCATTATCCAGCAAAAAAATGCAGCAAAAAATATTTTGCATATGCTTTTTAATGTGTTGTGTTTTCCCCATGTGTTGTTTGTTTTATTGCCTTTTCTACCTTTCCAATAAAGAAGGCAGTTTTAAACATCTAATTTTTGATTAAAACTTGAGTATTCATTTTCTTTTAATAAAATTCCTTGAGACGATGTTGCCCATTGGTACAATATGAATGAAGTGAACTCAGTTGAAACTAATTTTCAAAGTCATAAGCAGGGTTCTATCATAGACATTACTCAATGGAACCACAAAAGTAAATTACCACAAAATTTGAGTGGAACAATGATGCCATTGTTTGCTTTAAGTCATTGGTTGTCTTGTACAAAATATTCTTCTTACTGGTTCAAACTAACTGATGATTGGTGTAAAATGACACATTTCACAGAGTGACTTTTTTTATGAGTCTGTATAACATGTGTTTCCTTTCAACCTTTCAGGTAATGTGGGTTTGCAACCTGTGCCGTAAACAACAGGAGATTCTCACCAAATCAGGAGAATGGTTTTCGGGGTCAGGAGCGCGGCCCGGGAGCCTGGGCACCTCCTTGAAAGACCCGGCCACAAGAGGTGAGGGTCAGCGTGACAGGAAGCTTCTCCGCTCCAGATCGCAAGCTCCTCCCTCCAGCACAAACACAGGGCTGCTGGACGGGACACAGCTGCCCGCCGGAGTCCTCCCAGCCAAGGCTGGTGACACCATGCCTGGCTCTCGCTCCCAAAGTGAACCACCAAAAGAAAAGTAAGTCACAAATTGAAAAATTGGATTCTATATGTTTTTGTCTTTATACGTAATGTCCACCATTTTCCACGTTAACAGTAAGAGCACTCGGGGAAAAAAGTTCAGTAATACCTTGTGAAACAAAAGTTTTAGATATTGATCCAGACCTTTATTACAATCTGTTCAGATTACTGAACAATTTGTTCACATTACTGAACAGATTGAAGTCCTCACTGGGAATTTTTACAAAGCACTTACAAACGCCAGGATTTCCAAACTCAACTACTAACATTTAAAATAATCTTCTCCTGATCTACAAAACCCTCAACCTTCGGCCCCTAATTCCAGTTAGACAGACCTTCCACAAAAATAGGACACTACGATCCTCATTCATTGGCTCTTTGCACAAACCTCCATAGCTTTGGGGGTGAGCCTACCATCTGTTCCTTTGTAAACTCATCTGAGGATGGCAATGTCATATCACTGAATTCATAAGAAGCTCCTTAAAACATTTACAAGCTTTGGTTTTATTGAGAGGCATTGTATAAAACAAATTAGATATTATAACTAATATTGTCATCCACATAACATTTCTTATCCTTGTAAATTTTCCTTTGATTATGAATTATGAATTGCCTGCAAACTTTTTTTTTTTGCAATAAAAAGACAAGTAAAGTAGGATCTAAATAGTTATTGCTAGAAATGTATGCTTAGATTCAACAAGTATTGTTTCTTCTCACCTAGAAAAAGGCCAGTATCTCTTCATGAGCAAAACGGTAGGGGAGGGATGGGACGGGGCAGTGGTCGCAGACCTTCTGGCAAGCTTCAGTCTCAGTCATCCCTGGATGATCGTGTGAGCACTGGAGACAGAGAAAGACGGTTTGGAGAAGGACGGCGACTGGAGAAGATACATTCTCAAGATTATGAGGATGGAGAGGAGAACTTGAGGCATTCAGGGATGCACCGCCGACATCCGGAGGATGAGGAACAGAGGGAGAGGCAGCGCCGTGAAGAAGAGTTCCAAAATCGTTATCGGAGTGACCCCAACCTGGCAAGGTATCCTGTAAAACCACAAAAAGAGGAGCAGGAGATGCGAATGCACGCAAAGGTGTCCAAAGTACGGCACGAGCGACGGCACAGTGATCTCGCGATCAATGAGGTTGGGTTGGGACCAGGTGAAGGAGGTGGTGGAGGAGGTCATGTACCTCCAAACCGTCTGACCAGGAGGGGTGGAGGTGGTGAAGGAGAGCGCAAAGGCCTCAATGAGAACCACCGAGCCTTTCCTGTTGACAGGACCGCGGGGATGGGAGGAGGACCACCACCTCCAGGAGGTGGAGGGAAATCAGGGCCTCAGACTGGAGGGCTGGTGTCTAATGATCAGGGCTCAAACAACTCCCGTCCAGAGACTGGCACAACAAGGGACAAGGGTGGGGACCACCTGCTGAGGAAAGACTCGCAGAGCTCAGACCAGTCTGATTCTTTGCGGCCGCCCCCTCCTCGGTCATACAAAGGCAAGCGCGGAATCAACAAGAGACAGATGTCCATCAGCAGCTCAGAAGAGGAGGGCGGTTCCACGCCCGAGTACACCAGCTGTGACGACGTGGACATGGAAAGCGTCAGCGAGAAAGGTCAGTCAGACAGATGTGTTCAGTCCACTAACTTACTAATCTAAATCTCTCTGAACTCCCATGCCCACCTTTCCTTTTTGAATACTATTGCACTACCATTGTGATAGCTATTTGTTGAATCTTGCCTTTTCTCTTAGTTATAACCATCTGCCTCTCTTTGTTTAGTGCCTTCAAACTAAATTTGATCTTTGCACTTGCTATCCTCTCATCATCCTCCAAGTCATGGCAAAACTCCATTTACATGCATGGAGTAAATGGTTGCATAGGTATTTGTAATCTGATCTGCAGGGCTTGCAGACAGCACTGATTGATTGTTTTAAAGGTCAGACACATTTTTCAACCTATGACAGAGTTGTAACCAGAAGAAATGTGATCCTGGAGATGCATCAAGACAGGATCATTTAGATGCATGTTTAGCTTTATAAGGAATTGTAGCCACATTCTTACCACAACATTTTTCATTAAAAATGAATTGTTTAATAATTTTGAAGCAGAGTGAGATTCTAATCTCTGAGACTGTTACATTATCAGTACTTTCAGTGTCTTGACTGTAAAAGTCAATGCCAAGTGATAGAGTTGTTGCAGCCACTCATCACAGCATGCATTACTATATCTGTGCGTCATCTACACCTCTGTGTGCTGCGGATATAGTCTGCTGCTCTGAGAAAAGCTTTCGTCTATTTGAAGAGTCCCAATGATTTAGGCCAGCAGATTTGTGGAATTAGGTCACTGGCTTGCTGGCTACGTAATGCTCTGCAAACATCCAGCTGCCACAGCCAAGCATGGACTACCATCTGAAATCATGCCTGGTTGTGGCTATATGATGTATACTGCACTCTCAGCATTGCTAAAATAAGACCTGCTGGGATAGTCACTTTCAAGGGCCAGCAGGTGGGGTTAGTTGTGCCCAATCAGCTAATCACCTCATTGGTCACAGAATTGGGCCGTTTTAATCAAGATTAATGTAACTCAGAGGACACTAATGGGTAAATAGTGTAGATTCCGATGATTAGCCGTTTTAAATACTCAGTGGAACTCAAAAGAGAAAAATGGTTTAAAAAATCTTTTCTGTTTTTAAAATTGCTTAAAAGGTTTTTGTAAATATGGTTCTGCTTGAGTAAAATATAGTCTTTTTTGAAAAAAAACAGAACTATACCAGGCATTATGGTTGATGTTGATGATTGTATTTAACAGAATTAGATTATATATCTAAGGTAAGATGAATGAAGCTGAAGTTGGTTTCCAATTCTAGCTTCCGATTTGGGAAATGGCTAAATGGCGATTCCACCTAATTTTTCACTAACCTCTGCAGCTTTAATCGACTTTGCAACACGTAGACTCTTCAAACCTGGCCTAGATTATTTGTCTCTAATAGCAGAATATTTATAACCATGTTTGGGATTTGTAAAACTTTTATCCGATTTGTGAAACTTCAATAAAGGTTGATTTTACCACTTTTTTGTATCTGGATCACACTTGATCTTCTGCAGCTCCAAAACTACATCTAAACTCTTCAACCCTGAAGTGGATTATTTGTATGTACCTGGCTAAACATTTTGAGCAAAATGAAGTGCTAAAAAACACTCAAAAATAGATGCACATCCAAGGAATTATGAATAAATAAATTAAAGCAGTAGTCCTCAAAAATGGTTGTCAGAGAATTTTTAAACTAGCACATCTCATACTAATAATCACTTGCTTATTTTGAGTTTTTGTTTCATTCTGCTCAAAAGGTTTAGCCAGGTAGCCATAAAGCAAAGATATTAATCTCTACTTGTCCTGCTCTTTGTCCTGCCAGGAGATTTGGACTGTCATCCTTTAGATCCTACAGTATGGCATGTAAGTATGAAAGGATTTTAATGGCCACTACTGTGAGTGAATTCCTACTGGAGAAGAATCACATTTACTTAAACTAAAATATGTGCACGTCATTTCCCTGAATAATCTGAACTCTCGCATGCTTTTTCCTTTGTTTTCTGTCTTCACAGCATCCGGTTACGTGGCAGCCGTCCAAAGAGGGTGACCACCTGATTGGACGCATCACATTAAGCAAGAGGTCGGCCATGCCCCGCGAGGCCGGCTCCCTACTGGGCCTCAAAGTGAGAGCACAACTTCATTGTTGTTTTGCATTCAGAGTTAACTTTGTCCTTAAAATGAAGATATAAATGTTCTGTTTCCTGGGGAGCCTGTATAATCTTTGAGATTGTACATCAGGTGAGATCTGTATTTAAATAGTGTATTTAAACCTAAAATTGTTTCTACTCAAATCTGATCTAAAGATGAAGGCTGATTGTCACAATACCCATGGAAAGTTGTAAATTAAGATGAGTTTGTCACCATGTGACGATGAAACCATTCAAATGGTGAGCAGATGCATAGACCGAATCAATGTGAATATTGGAAATCAACAATGATTTGGAATCAAAACAATAGTTTCAGCAAAATAATTATTGCTGATGAAACAAAACTGAGTAACAGCTGAAGCACACAGCCAGAAACTACTGAACTGGCCTGCCTTAAGTTCAAGTCTAAGTCTGTGAATAGACTTTGACCTGAACTTTCAAAAACATATAAAGACAATCACAAAGTCGGCCTTCTGTCAGCTGACAAACATTTCTATCTTTAAAGGACTAATGTTACAACAAGATGGAGAGAAATTCATACACGTGTTTATCTTTAGTTGCATTGATTACTGCATACTGTGTGCAGGTTGTAGGAGGAAAGATTACAGAGTCTGGAAGACTTGGGGCCTTTATCACCAAAGTCAAAAAAGGCAGCTTGGCAGATGTTGTGGGACATCTACGTGCAGGTAATAGATTAACTCATTGTTTTAAACCAAGAATTATTTTCACGTAAGCAGACTCAGTTGTCCTAGAAAGTGATTGCCTTTCTAGAAAATTCTTGAAATTAAGTTGTCTTGTAAACCTACTAGTCACTGGATGTATATTTCCTGCTGAAAATATGCAAATGTTTTTAGTTATTGGATCAAGTTTTTTATGCCTTGAATTTGGCACATGTTCTATTTTACTAATATTTTGTGTCTGTAACATGGAGAATATATTGCAATGTTTACTACTACAATATCAAGATTCAACTTTTTATATTTCAAAGCTATTTTTTATTCAATAAGATCCACTGTCTTCACAAGCAGGACTCCAACCAGTGAGGGCAATGATTTCCCTTTGCGATCACTAAAGTATTTTTAAATTAAATTTAATTACGGTAAATGCTTTAACTTTAACACAGAGCGTAGTGGTCTAGAATTTTAACATTTGTTTATTGAGAATGAGATTACTGTTAAATATTATTTAATAATTTTAGCAGAAATAAATTAAAATAAATGTAACATTTCTTTCAAGTTGGTATGTAACTTTTATTAAAAAAAGAAATTGTATTTTTTACATATTTGGTAAAACATATTGTCATGTCGTGTCAGTATGTTATGAGATAGAGACCCTCCTCCTGACTGATTGGTTGTTTCTGATGGAGATGTGTATTTCTGTAGTTAACACTGGGAGAAGGGAGAGATGCTTTGTTTTTTCACAGAATACCTGACTCATACTATACTGTCACAACATAGTGGCAGTTTTAACAAATATGTAGAAAACATTTTTTTTTATCTATTAAAAAATATATAAAAAATTCATCTCATTCCTTAATGGGATGAACTTTTCTGATCTCCACACTTCATTGTCAGCCGGCTAGTCTCGTCATAGTGCTTGTTCATGTGTTTACAAATTTCCCTGGCCGCATATTGAGGAGATCTGCTTAAGTGGAGGAGAGATAGAGAAGGCATTTGATATGGAAAAGTTTAAGGCATAGCTTGTGGATCATGACAGTGATCCACAAGCTAAACCACCAGCCGCTAAACCACCAGCCGCTAAACCACCAGCCGCTAAACCACCAGCCGCTAAACCACCAGCCCAACAGGAAAACCCTGACAGTCTCTCAAGACAGTTCGTCCCTGATGTCACACTTTTCATCATATAACAACTTTGTATGTGACACACATATGAAAACTAAACTCGGATTGCATCATCTGGTGGTAATCTGATCTCCAGGTGACGAGGTCTTACAGTGGAATGGGAAGTCATTGCCAGGAGCAACCAAGAAAGAAGTGTACAACATCATTCTTGAATCCAAAGCTGAACCTCAAGTGGAGATTGTAGTCTCAAGGCCAATAGGGTAAGACAGTTGTTCACATTATATAACTATTGCATTTAAAGTAGAGGAGTAATGGGACAGGTTTTATTCTAACAGATGTGTTTGATATCTTTCCTCTTGTATAAAAGCTCCATCAGTCGAATTATGTCCAAAAACCTTTTGAGAAAAGTCTATAGAGCATATCAGTAAGTAGATTGAATGGGTGGAGTCCCTTTACAGTGTGACCTCCCTAAAATCCTGATGATCCATCAGAAAAATCCTCTTTTCCAGATGTTTTTTTCTTTCCTCTCCAACCCTCTGTGTCACCTAAGTCCATTTTTATGGATGGCCTTTATACTCTTCACAATTGAGCTGTTTGTTCCACATCATTTTGTAAAAAAGAAACACTTCAACATGATCATAAAATCTATGAACAACATAGCTATGTTTGAACTTGAATTTGTTCCAACCTGTTACCTTCTACAGAGACATCCCAAGAATCCCAGGGTCCCCACACCCTCCACTAGAGTCCAGTAAGTGTTTTTAGCCGTTTGTTGTTGCCAGCCATTAATGGAGAGCAGTGCATTATATGAAGAAGGTGACTTAGAAACACAGTTTTAATTTCTGTGAACAAACATGTTCTTCATTTCAATGTCAAGTATTTTTATTACATTCTAAAAAAGTTTTACAAAGGCTTTGAAAAAAAAATCTGGGCTTCTAACAGTGTGGTTAATTACTTGCAAAGTTGAGAAAGATGTTTGAAGAATTTCAGGTTAAATTTCTTGCACAGCTACAAACTTCTCAGATGATTTCACTTTGATGGAAAAAAAGGTGCGCATTTTCAGGAAATGTATCTATTACTGTTGTAAGAATTAGGGGTTTCTGCCCCTAAATCCTCCTGTTTAGAAAATGTGTCTGACATCAGCAATGTGTTTGAGCTTTGCACATTCCATCTTTATAAATGGCTTTGAATTGCTCAGTATACTTTTCAGAACAAACTCCTTGCTTTTTCATGCAATGGCATGATTGAAAACTCAAAACTGAGGTAAACTCAATGTAAAAAGTATGAATCATGTATTGTTGTTGGATATTATGAGTCAAAAGGAAAGGACCTTCAGAAACTGTCTTCAAAATATTCTCGTTTTTTCTACTGTTCACTCTGCATCTTACTTTCACAGTATTTCACCAGAACCTTTGCTTTTCGTCTCTCAGCTGGCTCCAGTTCTTTTGAGTCACAGAAGATGGATCGTCCCTCTATATCGGTGATGTCCCCCACCAGTCCTGGCACCCTTCGAGACCTTCCACTTGTGCTGCCTGGACAGCTTTCTGTAAGTAAAGAAAGAAGTGTTTGGTCTGAGGTTTTACTCCACTGTAGGGTAACTACATTTTGACATCATTTAGGTAAAGCTGTGGTACGACAAAGTGGGTCACCAGTTGATTGTCAACGTCCTTCAAGCCATAGACCTGCCACCTCGACCAGACGGCCGACCTCGAAACCCATATGTCAAAATGTACTTCCTGCCGGATCGGAGGTAAGGAGGTTTATTGTGTTTTATCTGTTTTTTTTTTTTTTTACCACCCTGCCTTGCATGTATTGGGCTAACAATACCATCCCCCAGCGCTTGTACTATACAAGTATAACATTTGCATTTTACATTTTAAAGGTTAGATCATCCGCTTGAACTCATTTTGCTTGTTTTTCTTCTGGGTTCCAGTGACAAGAGTAAACGACGGACTAAAACGGTGAAGAAGAGCTCTGAGCCCAAGTGGAACCAGACTTTCATTTATTCCCATGTTCACCGGCGGGACTTCAGAGAGCGAATGCTGGAAATCACTGTCTGGGATCAGCCCAGAGTGCAGGAGGAAGAGAGCGAATTTCTGGGCGAGGTTGGCAATGCTTCACAATGTCCACATACAGATCACCGGACAGAACATTGCTTAGATGTTGCTAAATTCATAATGAATGAAAAAGTACAAATAATGCTGTGCTGACATTTTTTCATGGAAATTCTGCCAAAGGACAAAATTTACAGCTAAAAACGTTTTATTATTTTTTTTTTCGTCTCAAGCAATGGGTGCTTGAACAAATTGAAAAGTACAAGTTAAAGTCATTCAAATGTTTATTTTATTTTTAACTTCAAAGATAAATAGTCATTACATCCTTTACAAATATTAGCAAGTTTTCTGTACTAGCTCTTTTCATTTTTCCTTTAAATTTGTGAGAAATTTGGTTGAGTCAGTAACTCAACCAAATGAACTTGTTACCCCAACAGGTAAAACCCCCCGATTTGTCAAGATTTGAGTCTTTCAACCACTCCGATGACACACAAAACACTCGCTTTTTGATTCTCAATTCTTATTCTCCAATGTTCTCATCATCTGTCCTCCGTCTCTGTCCTGTCAGATCCTAATAGAGCTTGAGACAGCCTTATTGGACGACACCCCCCACTGGTACAAACTCCAGACTCATGACGTGTCCTCCATACCTCTGCCTCAGCCCTCTCCATACCTTCCGCGCCGACACGTCCATGGAGACAGTCCGAGCAAGAAACTACAGAGTATGTCCTTCACGATGCAGTCTTCCACATTTTATTGGACCTGCGATGTGTTTGAGTCTGCACCAGTTAACCTCTCCCTCTTCTTAGCTTTCTCCTTTGTGTCAGGACATCCCAACTTTTCCCCGTCTTACCCTGTTTATGTGTATGCAGGGTCTCATCGCATCATTGATTCAGAGTTTGATGATGGTTTGATAGGTGGGACTAAAGGTGGGTGGGGGGCATGATTACTGAGTTTTTTCCTTGTAGTAGCTTGTAATTGTCCAGCACTTGGTGAGAAGCTTCTTCTTGCATCCTTCCTCTCCTCATGTGAAACTGCTTAAAATAATTTAAACATCTAATTTTCACCATCACATTGAAATACACATTTCTGTTGTGACTTTTTTACTATTCATCATGTCCTGCAGCAGCCCACAGTAATCTTGTGCCCTTTAGTTTGTACTGACCTTTCCAGAAGCTGCAGTGAACTGTTTCTCGTCCTCTGCTGGACTGTAGACTTACTGAAGCACTGAGTGCATGTTAGTCTGCAGAGCTCCTTTGTTCTCAATCCCCTGCATGTTTTTAGTCCTACAAGCTTGTGGCTCACTTCAGAGGAGACAACATGCAAATGAGGATGACCTCCTTTTTACTTTTTATGTTTTACTTTTTTAACCTGCAGTAAATGTCTTTGTTGTTTGTCTGTTTCTGCAGTAGCTTTAGTTCGCACCAGTCTAATGTGCACCTGATTGCTGAGTCGTATATGTTCAAAGTTAAATTTGCCCTTTTTAGATGCCATAAGGGTTGTTTTCGACTAAGGGAGCAACAGTGTGCTCATTGGCAGTATGAAAAGGATGGCAGACCAAAAATCAATTCCACATGAAGTTGATACTCAGGGTTGTCTGCAATGTTTTTCATTTAATGAAAAATCCTTCTTTGTACAACCATCTCTAGAGACTCCAGGCCCCAGAAAAAAGTAGACTCAGAGAGTCAGTAACTTTATTTTGAAGAAAAGTGTATAAAACACAGGAAAAACCAGAAGACCTGAGAAAAACCCAACATCAACGGAAAAATTGTAGAGAAACCTGAAAGATAAACGGGTGGCATAATGATTAGGAAGATAATAACTAAGCAATTTCAGGTGAACTGACTCCAAAAGGAAGGTATTATCAAGGAACTGGACGCGAGAATGAACAAGTATTTTTAATGTCTGAAAATGTTTACTCATTAAGACAAAAAGACGTACTCAAAATACATAAACCCCCAGAAAACTTAACAAAAATTCACTAGAAATGCTAAATACATTACCCAGTTTAGAACCAAAATATTTCTGTCCAAATTTGATCACTTGGCCAAAACAATGGCCATTTTAAGTTACAATTTTAAATGTTTGATTAGTAGTTCATCTAGTTCTACATACATTTTTAAATCTCTGACCTGAAAGAGGCACTGCAGAAACAGTCAGGCACTTGATATGCTTGTAAAACATCTTGGTGTGATGTTCTACATCCAGCAAAAGATTTGCATCTGTAGTAGTAGTAGTTGTTGTAGCAGCAGTAAATTGAATACCTTTTTCAAATGATGCGTCATTTATAAATGACATGAAAAGGTTTGATCTGAGTGGGCTCACTATTTCTTGATTGTGAATTTATGTTTGGATAAATATAAATCCCCAGAGGATGTTTTTGTGTCATGCGTGTCCACCTCCTGTGCTTGTGCGAAGGCGGAGAGCGAAACTCCCGTGAGAGAGATCGGAGCAGCACGTTGGCTGTCCCCGATCAGCAGCGCCCCATCCAGCACCGCTCCCGCTCCGTGTCTCCTCACAGAGAGGACACCTGCAGGGCTCGGTCTCGGCCCCCACACGTTCCCATGCAAAGGTCAGCTTCCCACAACAGTGTCTCATGTTGCCTTTTATTTCTGCATGTAGTCATAACTTCCTACTTTTGAGAAATTCAAGTGAGCTGTGTGGGTTTTTTTCCTCTATTTATTTTTACAATGCATTGCGTTGAACTGTATCAACATCTTCTTTCAAGGATAGTTCTAATTTAAAGACCAAATAAACCATACATAATGTTCTGATGATATTTTTCCCATATTATGTTGTTATATGTCACAGAATCTCTGCTAATTCAGAGGTTCTAAGTTCTTAAAAAGTGATTGCGATGCTTCTATTAGTATTCCTGTGACATGGTTCCTCGGTTAAAGTTAAAAATGCTTAGCAACAGTGCCCTGTAAAATATGTATACCCTTTGAGCCTTTCTTAATATTTTGTCATATTACAATAAAAATCAATGTATTTTATCAAAATGTAATAAACCAACACAAAGCAGAGCAGTGAATACTAGCAAAGTAGAAAGATGGTGTGTGGTTTTTAATTAAATTTTGCAAATGCAATTCTTAAAAAGGTGCAATGCATGTGTATTCAGGACCTCTTCTTCTACTGTATCCAAAATAAAGCCCCACGTGTAAGCAGTTGCATTCAGAGATAATCTAGTAAAAAGATCATATGTGAGTAATTTATTCTTAGAATAAACCTAGCTTTTCTGTGAATGCCTCAGAGGTCTAAAGAACATTAGTGAACAAAGAGCATCATGTAGACCAAGAAACATAGCAGATAGTTCAGGTAGAACGATGTGGACAGGTTGAAAGGAGAGTTAGGGTATCGAACAATAGCCAAACTATTAAGGATCTCATGGGTGACTGTTCATTCAAACAACTGAAAAAGGAAAAGTACTGCAAATCTACAAAGATGTGGGTTTCTGTCCATCTAAACTGATGAGGCAGGTAAAGGAGAGCATTAGTAGGGAAACAACCAGCAGTCCCATCAACTGTTACAAGTTTAGAGAAATTGTATTTTCAGGGAAACTACATGCTTCACAAATTTGATCCTTGTGGAAGAGCGGTAAGAAAATCTTTGGGAAGTCTTAAATGTAGTTTATCCCTTTAATTTTAAAAAAGGGGTTTAATATAGCTTAATGTGGAAAAGTCTGAGTGACATTTTGCAAGTCGCTGTATCACAGACGTCAGGACTTGTTCTTTGGATCTCTGTTAACGTGCCAGTAATTAAGAAAATGTTTTTTTTGTTTCTTATTTATAATAATCAATCTCTTTCAGTCATAATCCATAATCTATTCAATAAATTGGTAGTGAATTACATATATTTTAATGTAAATGTGTTAATTTTCTTCAGGAGTTTGGATGAGATTCACCAAAACCGCAACCACTCACGTTCCCCGACACACTACCACGAGTCCGACCTGGAGCACCAGCGCTCCGGCGACTCAGACTACGAGTATTCAGAGGACAGGTAAACTACTATTGAGATGTCTTCAAACTTCAAAGTGAAAAAATATGTAAAAGAGTAATTTATCAGTAACCGTTCACAACATTTTACGCTACAGACCCCTAAATCTGTTAAACATCAGATTTGTTTTGTGAAGGTTGCCTCTTAATTTGCTTGTTTTTTTCGTAATCTGCTTTCACCAAACTAATTCTACTAATACGTCTGACTGTGTTTGTCTTAGACATAACTATAATATAAAAAATATTTTCCCTGCTTTCTATCATTCATAAATTCACTTTGCTCATCTGCGTTGCCATCTTGTTGTTTTTTTTTTTGTGTGTGTGTTTTCCTGGGTCGTTTTGCACTCGTTCACTCATCGTCATGGCATTGACAGTGAGGTCCTGGAGATGAACAGATCAATTCGAGGCGGGAGTGCAGAGTGCCTACATACCAACAGGTACAAACACCATTCAGCTGTGTTTTAATGGTTGCCATCATACCTTAACAACTTCATCTTAACAGAGGTTTTTTTTTTTTTTTTTTTTTGTGAATAAGGAATGAGTTGAATGTTTCTGATTTTCTGCATCTGCATGAGATCAAAGGATTTTGCATTTGTGCTTAGCTGCTGCAGCATACTTTGAATTTCTTTTCTAGAATTCTTTTAGATTTTCACTACTGTCTTATAAAAAACACAAATCACATTTATTCAATATAAAAGCCTACGCTCTCCATGAGCTGAAAGAAGACAAAGCTTTCTTTCTCATTTCCCAGCATTTTCTCTGAGATATTTTCTCTGTTTTCCGCTTTTTTCTTGTCTTGCTTTCAATGTGCATGATTTCTACTCGTTCAACCAGGAGCATAGATAGATACAGCAACACGCTTCCCCCAAAAATGCCCCTTTTAGTAAATGGTATCCATAAAGACATTTACAGGTAAGCGTTTTACACTCGGAAGGCAATCTTGTCTTTCCTTCCTTACTCTGTGCTTGTCTTATTTCAATTACTCATTTGTGAAACTGGTGAATCTTTTTGGTACAACAAGGCTTCCACTGTGTTGTTGTTGTGGTCAGAATGTCACAGAAGGCAGACTGGATTAATTCACCCATCATCAATTTGTACACCTATTTCATACCTATGTGTTGCCCTTTCATCTCTTCCTACTACAATTTCAATGTTGTGAGCAAACAATCTTGTCCCCCTTTACTAAACCATTGTATATCAATTCATCTCTTAGAAGGTATACATTTTAGTACAGTAAAGATGAGATTATTTAAAATATCTACATTTTCTAAAGATTTTATGAACTACCCTGTTTCTACAAGTTTTGATTCTGATCCTATTTTGAGCCTTTTGACCAACTGACAAGAGAAACTAAAGTAACCCTATTATGTAAGAAGCTTTACACATAATCCCTTTGATCACATTTATTGGAGAAATATTGTATAATGTTGCTGTTAGTTTATTCAAGAAATGCTCTTTAAGTCAAACACAACCTGTACCATTTGTTGGTCCCAATTTATTGACGCTCACTACAGATTGTCTCTTGGCAAATAGCTTCCAAACACTTTGCATATGAAAAAATTGCTATTTATTTCAAATATTTGTTTTTGGGGTCTCAAAATTACAAACAGCAAATGTCAGAATTATGAGTGCCAATTCTGCTGAATATTTCATTCATTGACACGGAAAACTAATTGTCAATGAAGTACACAACATGTTCAACACATGTTTATACCATCTTACCTGGAGTTGTGTGTCAGAGAGCTGAAACAAAATGAGGCAATGAAGTCTCCATTTAACATTGGTTAACTTAGCAATGGCTTTTTAGTTAAGAACCAATATATAACCACTAAAAAATGGAGATGAGTATCTGAGAAAATATATAAAGTATATGAGAATAATTATGAAACATTTCTTTCAACCAAGAAAAGATGCTAAAATCAAAATTGAAAAGTCAGAAATAAATGGTCCTGCAAGCAGAGTCACGTAGGTCTGAAGGCAAAGCTTGCGAAGCATAGTTATTGCACTTATATATCTAGGAGATAATGACTGTAGTATCAATTTCCATACTCTTAGCGTTTCCATTTTTTTTCATATCTGACTCAGCGTAAAATTAATCTCTCATTATTGACACTACTGTTCTCATAGCTACATAACTAACAGGAGGCAAAAACTCTCATATTAAACAGAATAAACTTTCCAGCTATCACCTTTTAACTTGTATGTACATACATTACACAAATGTACAGTATTGCAGTTTTCGCTCAAGAAATAGATCTGTAGATTCTATTATGTAATAAGCATTACACATAATCTCCAACTAGATAAACTATCTCTGTGCCTTTACGTAATGAAATCCTTGCTCTTAAGTTGCAGATGGAATTTAGTTTAGCTTTCGTGTTCATTTAGTATTTCCTTTATCTTAAAACTCTGAAGGCGATCTGAGCTTAAAGAAAACTCATCTGCACTGAGTAATATGTCATTATGTAGCTACAGTGCTGGTTTTCCCCCAGATTACAAAACACATTTTATTGTCAGACACTGACAATCTGAAAGAATACAAATAAACAACAATTTTCAAATGAGGATTTCATTTATAAAGTGGAAAACTGAACAAAATCAGTCTAACCCTAAGTGAAAAAGGAATCATCTTTTAAACTGGTTGTTCTACCTGTGGTAGCAACAACTGCCATCAAGAATGTGATAAGTGGCAAGGAAATGTTTACACCATGGTGAAGGAACCTGCTACAGCCTCTCAATCATATTTAAGTTAAGACTTTGACTAGGTGGAGTTTAGATTTATGACCTTCCACAGTCAATTAAATATGAAGTAATCTTGGCAATATTGTCAAGCAGGTTGTGTGAGCAATTTTTATTTTAATGCATTCATGTACTTCCACCAGTTTGCCTTAATATTATAATGCAGAGTGGAAGGGAAAAGAAGACCATTGTGTAAGTAGATATAAAGGAGGGAGCTTCTGGATGTTGATGCTTTAAGGTATAAAAGGTATCTTGAGATGTGCAAGATCAGGGTTTGACTAGGGATCAAACCTAGGGGAGCAAATCCTTTCTGTTGGGAGCCAAGATTAGGGAATGCTGCTTTACATATTGCTCTGGGTTTGTTTTTAACTGAATGAGTTTGCAATGTGGTCTTAGAAAAAATTTATGAAGCCTCCTGTTCATGGGAAAATTTATTACTGTCTTATTTTTTCTCAATTTTTGGACTGTGGCCAGATGCAGTTACATCTGGCCTGTAATTGCATTTTCCAGATAGATTTCAAATAAGTTTTTCAATTCTGTTCCTGAATTGCTTCAGATTGTGGATATAATGCTTTCTGTAATATTTTAAGGGATTTCTTAATTGTGGACGTCTGGATAATAATTAGATCTCTGTGTGGCTTGCATAATTGAACTCAGTTTTCCAGAAAATGTGGCTAACAGTTAACTCATGATTTATCAAGGAAACAGTATGATTCACATTGTGGCATGTTGGTTTGACTTGTTGCTTTTCCTCAGTAAATAAAATTGCTTTTGTCTGATACTGAGACGATCTGATGCATTTAGGTGCAAAGAAAAAACAAATGAAAAACAAAACAAAAAAAACAAAAAACAAACCTGCAAACATTTGTTTAGTGCACTTGATGCTTGATATTGTGATGCAGATTTTCATTTCTTAACCCCACCTTCACCTGTTGAGTTGCTGCTTCACTCTGTGACTTGCATGTGTCATTTGGTTTTCCTTTGCCTTTCTTTGCATGTGGGTATTTGGTACACAGCTCCACCCTCCCTGCATGCCTAAAGAGTAAGCCATATGCCAGACAAGAGGGGGGCGACATCTTGCCTCGTAGCATCCTCACACACCGTGTTCTCAGGTTCACAGACGAGGTCACGGTTAGGTAAGAACAGAGCGAATTTCACACATTTCCACTCTCATTCTCTCACCAGTCTGAAACATGGTTTTACTCTCAACCGACAGCTAATTCTAACATGTGAAGCATTGTGCCAGTTTTAAATTAATGATCTACTTTTGTAATTAACACTACATGAAAATAAATATGCACATAGCTTTTAAAATGTGAGATTTTTGTGATTTTAAAAAAAATTATACCAAGATAAACCATTTCATTTTCCCTCTTTAAATCTTAGCTATAATCTGTAAAACTCAAAGGAAAAAATATACTGAAGCTGTTCAGGAGAGATATAAATTATTAAATAAACAATTAGTATTAGTTTAAAGGTGTGCAATCAGGTTGCGTAAATTTCAATTTTTTCATTTTCCTCAGAAAGATGTAAGTTAATGTTTTAATTGAGTTTTACAAGTTTATGTCAACCTTAAAGTAGAAAGACTTCTGAAATGGTTTACTTACTAAATGTTTTATTTCTATATTTGTTTTTCACATCACACAAACTTTGCACTGCAATTGAATGTACAGGTGAATTACTGGTGTTGAGATTTAAACAAATTATCTAATAACATCTACAACTAATATTTGCATTGAAGATGAGTAGATTTAGATGTTTGGCTTTGAACATCTGGTCAAATGGAAATAAATTTCTTCCCATAGGCCTAATTCGTACCAGTACTTAAGACAAGAAAAACAAACATCAAGACAGACCCCAGCTAAATTAGTTGGTTTGTTTTTCTGTCCTTTTGTGGGAATGCATTTGTGTTTATGTGTCGTGTTATTTGCATTTGTAAATTGCATTTGTTGATTCAAACATGATCCAATTATTTCTAAGTTTGCCTGTTTCCATGTCGCTGCATGCTCTTTGTTTAGTTGCAGGATTGCCACTTTCAACATTTAGGTCATGCAATGTCACACGATGGCATCCATTTAAAGCCACTTGATGTCAGAAAACGAAATGGGACAAACACACAGACGTATACAAATATCTGTGAACCAAATACGAACTCATACAAACCAATCCTTCTGCCTCTGACACCTGGTTTCCACGGTAACTCATCAGCCTACCATCTCAGTGATCTCCCAGCATCTGGTTGCTGCGAATGACTTGCTATGATAAGTGTAGCAGCAGAGCCATTACATGTTACTGTACTGTCTGATTCTGCCTCCCCCCCACCAGCACCTTTTTAAATCTCTGTCTCTGCTCTTCTTATGTCTCCCCTTTCTCTCTCCTTCCTGCATTTTAATAAAACACTCTACTCTTTATAATTTCGCATTGGATCTAGCTGATTTTGTTTTTCATCTTTGTTTCTCTGCCTTGTTCTTCTGCCATTTTGTGGCGTTGCAGCGACCTGCAGCCATCCCTGGACAGAGTGAGGAGTGCCAGCACCACATGTCTGAGACCAGACACCAACTTTCACTCCTCTGACAGAGACAGGTATCCGACAAAAAAATGTGCAACGCATGACAGCGACTTTACATATGTGTGTTTACAAGGATGGTGTGATTCAGTATTAATTGTTTTAAAGATACGCCATGTTGTCATTCATATCTCTCATATCATATTCCCTGCCCCCTCATAACTACATATTCTCTCTCCAAACTCGCACAAGAATTCTTTATGTAGAATGTGAAAAACCTTTCACATTAAGGTCCACATTAACCTTACAGAAATAGTAGCTGTGGTATTAAATACTTACGTACATTTTCCCAACATTGTTGAATTGAAGAACTGAAGAATTGGGATTTTATAGCAAAGCTAATTTGTTTAAACGTGATTTCAGTCCTCCATTGTGCTGTGGAAAGTTATCTCCGTACACATTGGAGGAGTCCTTCAGATATAATTTTCAGGTTATGTGTTCACATGTAAATGAGCTGGCATAAAAATTAAAAGTACAAACACATATGATGAACTTTTTCTCAAACTGCTTCTCAGTAGTTCTGATGTCCTGTATGACTACAGATGGTTCATGTCTCTTCTAGCTCTCTGATACTGTGCTATGAAGTGTGCAGTACATTCATGGCCTTTACTAACAAAATCTCCTGGTGTTCTCACCCTGGAACGCTCCTCCTTCTCCTGCCCCTGTAGGTGCTCCAATTCTTTGCCCCGCAGGACTCCCCCAAACCCCAGGATCTTAGTAGAGCATGTGGCCTCAGAGGAAGAGAGGTAGATCAGGCCTGCCCTCCCATCTGCTTTCTCCCTTCTTCTTGCTTCTGCTTTGCTTTGCTGCTTAAACCTCCTTGACTTTTCCTTCTGGAAGCATTTCCTGTTGCTTAGAGCTCAAGCTTGATATAACGTATCACAAACCGTGAGATTGATGCTGTTTTGTTCCCTTTTCTCGTAAATACTTGTGCTCTAAAGTTGTGTAATCCCATATTGATTCTGCTGTAGCTGCTTCTGTGCTGAACTCCCACTGTCATTTTTAACACTACTTTGGCTTTAAAGCACTTTATTTGGTTCAACATTGTTATTAAGGAAGACAAAGAGTTTACATGATGTGCAGTTCTCAGTTAAATTGCTTTCATAATCCTCCCTAAAAAAGTACAGCATCAGTTTTAGGATCTTAGTTTTTTTTTAATCCTCAGGCAACGTTCAGCGCACATCTCGGGTGTGGCTGCTTTCCATACACGTTCTTTGTCTTCCTCTATTTTTTGGATGTCAAAACAGGGAGAGTATTAATTCATCCAGTCTAAACTGTCTGTGGGAAAGCAGACAGTGTCTTGAATTGGACAGGTAAGATCATTTTTGCATTCATTCCTTCATTCACTCACTCATTCATTCATTCGTTTGATCAGTTTCCTCTCATTTCTATCATCACTTCATTCTGAATGACTATGAACATCTAAACTGCTTGGTGAGATCTTTAAATATGCAGCACTACATATGATGCTGAATTGGCCCAGGCAATCAGCACAAAATCTGTGTGATATAAATCATTTTCAACAAGCCGTCTTAAAAAAAATGTAAACAACTCCTTTTATATTTACATATATTTTAATTTTCTTTTTTTTTTGAGAGATGCCTGCCTCATAAACTATCAGAAACAAACTTCCCGGAGTTTTGTAAATGTTTTGAATCTAAAGCTGCCATAAGTTTGAATAACTGTGGACTTAATAGTAATTAAAATAAAATGAACTGTTTATTCAGTTTTATTGATTTTAGCAGCCTTTATAAAGTTAATATTTTAATAGAAAGTTTTAGGACATAATTCTTTAACAAAGTCTACCAGTTTCATTGCATAATGTGATACAGTGCAATAAAACATAATAAAATAGTGGATCTACAACTGATCTCCCAACTCTGTGGCCCCTATTAGAGGTGAATGTAAGAAGGTTTAGTGAGTGTGACAGACAAATAATGTGAGATTAATCAAAATTGCAGATATGAGATTACAAAATACCCCACATGTCCCATTGTGTAATTTGCATTCAGGCAAATTGACATTTTATAGTGATATTATGTGCTGAGAGGGCAATTAATTTTATCGTGTTGCAGCAGTTCCCACCTTCAGGGAGCCTGCAGTTGTGCGATTAGGTCATTTGCAGTTTAAACGTGAATGCTGCATGTTTACAGCCATATGTTTGGTGCGAACCTCATCACGAGATGGTCAGAGCTGGTAAAAAATGAAGCAGAACCCACAATATCAGAAGTGATATTAAATAATATCACTTCTGATTTTGTGGGTTTTGTTTTTGACTCTTTCTGATGTTATTTTTTAAGGACTATATAAAAAAACTTGCCGTAGGTTCTGAGACAGAGGTAGATGTTTTCAATACAAAAAAATTGAGAAAAGATTTTCCCAATCATATGCATCACACAAATTGGATAAATTTGCCTCAAAGTTTTTGTTGTTGGTTGATGCATTTAGAGACTAAATATGGTAAAAGTTTCATTTTGTTGCAGTAAATGAAGTAGGAAAGTAGAACCTCTGCACAATCTTTACAGAATTGATTGGTGCATCTCTTTTTTTAAAAATCTGAATACTAAGAGTCTTACCCTAATGTCTGTAAAATTATTTCTTACTTCACAATAGTCAAAATCACAGTAACATGTATTTGATGCCTTGTATGAAACACTGGTCCCCAAGAGGAGTGAAACTTTGTGCAACATTTTTTTGCTCTCTTTAGATAGTTTGATTCTTTTTTTTTATCTTTTTTTTTTTTTTTTACTTTGCTGCCGGCAGTCGAATTCAGCCCACCTCTATCCTAAGGGGCAGTAGAAGAAGAGGGGGCCCCCTCAGGCCCTTTGTACAGACAGTGCTGTCCGGTTCCTGTCCTAACTCGCCGCGGCCGGACAGGTGCATGTCGTTACCTGTGTTGATCTTTTCCTCCCCCAATGTGTGCTTGTGTTCATGTTTTCAAGCAGGTGTTTTTTCCCCTTGTGCTCTTCTAGGATATGTGTAGCCTTGACTGTGTAGAGAACATTCCCAGAAAATTGCCCTTTACTCCTATTCCTTCTCTTCCACCTTTATTGTCTAACTTTTCTGCAGACGTCAGTTTGTTGCTCCTGTGATTCCATTTTTAAATATGTCAATATTTAATTTTGGGACTAGACATGTCTCATCCTTCCATCTGTTTTTTTTTTTTTTTTTTTTGTCTTTGATGCTTATTGCTAGAACACACCCACACGGCAGCCCTTCTCCTCCAACTGTGTTATCCGGTCGAAGGGGTCGTCAGCTTCCACAGCTCCCTGCGAAGAGCAGCAGTATAGAGCACGGTATGTTTCTCAAGCCATAATGTAAAGCAAAACAGACAAAAAATATATGAACAGTTTAAAACTGCACCAAAGTCAACATTTGGCAATGAAACTTTACGTTGAGTTTATAAGTTAAGAGTGGTGTGCCCTGTCTCTCCTAAGATTGTCTGGAAAATGTACAAGGATGTAAATATGTTGTTTTTATCTTAATTTTTTTTTATCCTTTGATTTTTAAATATATATATTCTACTTTGGATTCACCTTGACCAAATTTAAGAGTTCTAATGCAGGATCGAAATGGAATGAAAATGATTTTGCTCTTTGTACATAAGAGGGTTTTCAATCAATATGTTTTTCAAGGTAATTAATTTTTTACTCTCTTTTTAAAGCTTTATTTATCTTCTTATTTGTATCAGCCCTGGCAGTGGAGGAGCGAGCCCGACAGCTGCCAATGAAAGTACATTCCTACCGGCCTTCAGCCTCCCACAACTCTCAAACAGACCTCAAGACCAAACGGGAGGTATGCATCTCCAGCTCTTCTTCTGAGAAGCTTTAGATCACTTTTTCAAAATGAAGGTTTTTGATACCTAGTTTGGCATAAATCAGATTAACTCGCCAGAGCTCTGATTGCAGATGTACGCAGAGCAGAGGCGCAGCAGTGACAATATGTCGGCGAGATCTTCGGACAGCGACATGAGCGACGTGTCGGCTCTCTCCCGTGCCAGCAGTGCCTCTCGTCTCAGTAGCACCAGTTACATGTCTATACAGTCAGAGCGGCCTGGAGGACGGCTCAGGTGAGTTTTTAGGTGCATGCTCTGGTCACAATCTGAACAATATTTAACTTTTTTTTCAAACTGCATGCTAATCATGGTTTGTTTGTTTTTTCTGAACGTTGCATGCTGCCGCTCCTCTGCATGATTCGTTTCCTCTGTGACACACATTGTCACGCACAAACAATCACACAAACTCACCAAATGGGGCATCTTAAAAACAAACTTAGGTCAAAGTCTTTAGAGGAGGACAAAAAGGACAGGAGGATATCGTGGGAGGTGAACGGAGAGGAGGAGAAAAAGAGGGAAGCAGGAAAGAGACGCTTTTCTCAGGAGTTGAAACGCAGAAGACACACTGTAGCAGGAGACACAAGGGAGTCCAGGTAACAGTGATTCTCCACCTCTGCTAAAATCAATCTTTCCTTCTCTTATGACTGAGGAAAAAAAGCAAACACCAAAGTTATGTAATTTACTGAATAACGTTGAACTGAACATAAATAGAATAGATTTGATTTTCGGCACATTAACACATTCAGACACACCATTAATGAAACGTGCATCCAAATATTTCAATAAATCACCAATACAAACACTCAGACAGAGATCTACTGACCTTAGCGAACTTTCAGCAGCTTTAAAAAGCAGCTTTGCTTTTCAAGCTTATTGATGGCCCTTTGGTGTTGCTCTTCAGCTGCTCCTGTAGGGCTTATGTGCCACTGTGGTTCCCAGTGAAACCTCGTAACTATTCCCAAATATTTCCCAAACTCTGTAGTTATTCGAAAATAAAATAAACAAAATATAAATTAGTTACGTCTTATTTTGTAAATATATTTGTCAAGTTTTTTATTTTCTTGAGGTGATTTGTGTGAAAACAGGCAAAAACATATTTAGAAAAAATCTGTTGCTCAAAAATAAGGGCATATAATAGTGAAATTGTTTTTTCACAGTGATTAAATGGTAAGAATAGATAATTCAGATAAAGTCTGTATTTTGGACCGTTTGTGATTAAACATATTTTGTAAAAGAAAATGTGGTTATTCACCTTAACTAGACGCAAATAAGGCTTAATTATCATAAAATATTATTTGTAGGTTTACTATATTTGAATGAGTAGATCCAGTGCTTTCCACCAGCGTCATGACTCTTTATCACACAAAGCTGTCACAAAGCCTGATGTTGAACAACATGCAATGATGAACTGAACTCATAAATCATCTGAAAATAAGCATGAACTGAAGCAAAGCTAAACATAAGCAAACCATGATTAGGCTTAGCTGACGTCAAGCTGATATAAAAAGGACATTTTGAACTCAAACACACACAGAATGGTGGCTGACCAGAAGCAGGGCACTGACAGGGACAAATGACCCAATCCCAGTAGTCCTCCGTGGGTCAGGTGGTGATGTAGTGCAGCTTATTAGTTGGCAAATATATTGAAGTCTGGGAAAGTGAGAGAAGGTGACCCTGTTCTTTACAGTCCAAACGACTTTATGGATAAGCAGAAGCTCTGACACTTTAAAGAGTCAGATGTGAGAGGAGTCCCTTTGAGTGTAAAGACTTTAAACGATATTTTAATATCCCTGTTTTAACGCTTGTTTCTCTACTAATATAGCTGCTGCTAAAAGAGCTGTTTATTTAAACTCTACCATGTTGTCTTCAGTTCTCCATCACTTGAGTTCTTTTACACATAGTTCAGTTTTGATCTTTTATTTCAGGCCACCTTTTTTCCACTTTTTCTGTGTCCACTAAAAGACTTGTGTGACTAACTAGGCATTGTTCACCCACTTTAACTGGGGAGCTAATTAGTTGTATTCTGAAGGCAATCAGGCTGTTAATGTCTGTCTTCATGGATTCTGTCATCTGCTTCAGGACAGTTTGTCCAACTTCATAGAATAAACAGGAGAAGGAAACAGAGAAGACATGGGATTACACAAACACATTCCACATTCACTTTTATTGCTTTTTTTTTTGTATACAGCCTTCCATCAAACATTCTTCTCTAATTGCCTGTGCAATTGACATTTGAGTAATTAAGTCACTTTTATTTATTTATTTTTGCTTTTTTTAAATTTATTTTTGCTTTATTTTCAGTTGAAAAAAAAAATGATTAAGGATACTGGGGATTTCAATAGTGCTGAAGTGTTTGTTCTGGGATTTGACAAAATGAGACCATGGAAGATTATTTCAAAACCTTCTCCATAAACCTTAACATTCACTTCCTTCACAATTTGGCAGAAAAACAGACCAATCTGTCCTAAGGAAACTAAAAATAAATCTGATCATGCTATTCCAAAATTGTTTTCTTCTCATGAATTCCTCGTCTTCATCATTCGGATGTTCAATATGTTTGGTATCACTGTTAGGATGAAAATTTGAATCCCTCTTCATCTTCAGTTGAGTAGTCGACAGTAAGATTTGGGACAAAATTGGATGGAATTTGAAACTTTATCTGCTGTGATGAAAACACTATTTCCACATAAAGAAAAACAAATCGTAAACATTCAGAAAAGAGCCACCAATTCCGACAATGCCTTGGTATTTTCGGTGTTGTCGCTGGCCTTCCTGACCAGTTTCAATCTCATAATCAGCCATTTTTCATTATATTTTTGAGCAGATACCTTTGCGCACTAATTTGTACCATCTTTGTAAACATTGGTTATCTAAAAGAAACAGATGAATAAACAAGAAAATCCTACAAGAACATCTAAACTTTATTTCTATTTCTGTTGCTTTACTTTATTGCAACTCTGAATTCAAAAAGATTGAATTCTAATAGGAAATCAAAACATGCTTCAACACAATTGTAGTTTTTTTTTTTGTATTGTATTGTTTTGTTTTTTTTCTTTTCCACAAGTAAATTGTGTTTTCTGTTTAATTGTACAGGACAATTGTTTCACTATCTGCAGAAAAGGTTTTGAAATTATGAAACAAAGTGTCACTTTTTGACATAACAAACCTTGGCCTTTTGAGATCCACTGTATACACACTTAAAGTATATTTGAGAGATTGAGCTGAACATTACAAAAATGCAAAAACTACATGTTTTTTTTGTTGTTGTTGTTCTTTTGTCCGTGTGTTTATGTATTTGTGCAATCCTCCCTGCATGTCTTAGATCCCTCCTTGCATGCCTTCTGTGCTGTGACTGCCCAGACCCCCTCCATCCTCAAGACCGGGATCTTCCCCTTCCATTCTACCCATCCTCTGCCAGAAGTTCTCTAACTCCCCTGCAGGAGGCAGTGGAGAGGCCTCAATCCACACTCCCTTTTTCCTCCCTCTCCCCTGCTCCTCTGGGTCACTGGACCATAGCTGTCAGGGAGCCACTGGGAGCGGAAAGTCTGAGTGAAAGAGGCAGCGTGGCTGCTCTGTCCTGCAGCACACTGACGCCCTCCGAGGGGATCGATGTGCGCTGGCTCCTCCAAAACCTTAGGAGGCGGCATTGCTCACATTACTGTTGCTGCTGCTGCTGCTCATGTTTAGTGCAATGTTTAAGAAGAAACTTGAACTTATAACATCATGGCCTTTTGGTTGATGAAGACTCTTTTTCAGTCCTACAACAACTGTAAACTGTAGTTATGTTCATTCTATTTGGTTCCCATTTGGCATAATAAACAAGTTAACTTTCTGCTCTGCTCCTCCTGTTTTATGTTATGCCAGAATATTGGAAGGTTATTACATACATTAATTAAGAGCATATTCAATAACATCAACAAGATCCTAGATTTATCCAGAGTCTCCTACCTTACAGTCGGCAAATGCGATCGATGGGTCGGAACATGATGAAGAGCTCCAGTGTGAGTGGTGAGATCTACACGCAGGAGCGCACAGATGGCAGCCAATCAGACACCGCTTTGGGCACCGTGAGCGGTGGCAGCAAGAAGAGACGCTCCAGCATCAGCGCTCGCTTCGTGGCCATCGTTGGCAAGAACCGCAGCCGCAGCACCTCACAGATCAACGACCCTGGTGAGTCGCACATGCAAACTGTTCAAACTTTGTATCACTATTGTCCTCTGAAACGGGATTATGTAGTCCCCAGGTTTAGTTATAATTTTAATATCTTGTCTTTGATCACCTGGACAGAAGACATTTGGGGAATTATTCGTATAATTAAAAATTTTAGGAAATCATTAGAAATTTTGGGGGTAGGGTTGTGGGTAACAGTTATGTCCTCATATTGTGATTTTAGGTCCTGGGCATCTTCACAGTTGTTTTCTTCAGTGACAAAATTTATCATCAGCAATTGACCCATTATCAGGTTGTAAAAAGACACAAATTTTCTAACCTTCATTTTTAATACTTTATCGTTTGGGGTAGGAGAATAACAAATTTTGCATTTATTTAGAAGACTGCATTTAAGTTTTACTTTAAGCTCTATAATGCTACTTACATTATTGGAAATAATGATTATTTAAAACATTCTAAATGTTTTTCTCATAGAAATAGTCTTGATGATTTCTCCTGATGTATTAAAACATAGTTTATTCCAGACCCAGAAAATTTAAAGTGCACTTTCCTTCCAAAGAAGACAAAATCTTCTGCTGCCTTAGAGTTTAATTGTCTTGCATCCACTATTTCCACTGAGGGCATGTAGAATGAAAGCCAGATTCTGCCTTTCCCTTCTTTGTTCCTGGCATAAAAAGCTATTAAAAAGCACTTTGCTGGGAGGGCCGAAGGGGAGAGGAGTTGGAGGTTGGTTCTACTTTCGCTGTTTCATCCCTGATGTAAAGATGGGAGAAAAGAGAGAGAGACGGGACAGAGACCAGCACCAATTCATAGAAACATTTATTTTGATCATGATGGATGACAGCAATGTCAGGTATGGCTGTAACCTCATTTGACTGGATTCATATGGTTGAATCTGAGCTTTATCCTCCAGCTATTTTATGCTATTTAACGTTTTGCGACTAACTGTTTTGATTTGTATCTCATAGAATGAAGTAGAATCTAAATTGTTTTATTCAAATGTGTTGCTGCATATTTAATGTTTGCCTTCTGTCGTGTAAATTAAATGTTAGCAACATTCACATCCCTTATGCAATTTCATATTGAATCTATAAAATGTTATAGATCTTATTGGGATTTTGTGTTATAGAACAACACAAAGTAGGGCATAATTCTGAAAGGACATATGGCTTTCAATTAATAAAAATCTGACAGGTGTTTAGGGTCATTAGGGTGAAGAAGACTGAATAGATATGTCCACCACAGTTTTCGGATTTTAATTAGTAAAAAAAACATAAAAAGCACTGATAAGTTCATATTATTATCTGCGGGCATCTCGATTCTTCACAAAAGGTCCTAACATATTGAAGAGTGAGATTGAGACATGGCAAAATGTGAAAATGTTCAAGGAGTGGGAATATTGCAGCAAGGCACTGTAGGTATTGTGGTTTATTTTATTTTGTTTAACATTTTTATTCCCTAAATTACATGGACTGTACATGTACAAGTAGAAATCACTTAGAAAACCAGAGAATTAAGCTTAAAAGATGTTGGCAAAATGTTGCGGTTTTGTCATCAACAAACATGTTCTGTGGTATTAAAATATAGTTTTGAAAGAGATTTGCACACAAAGTCCATGCTTTCAGTTCAAAGCATGGACTGAAATGTTCATGCAACAATTTTAATCAAAACGGCAGACTGGGATCATTCTGGAACAGTCTCTGTGACCTCAGGAGCTTATGTTTATCTGTTGCGTCAAATTCAAAGTTTGGATTAAAAGTTTCTGCACTTGCCTCTTTTCTCTCTTTATTTTCTAGAGGGGAAGACTAAAAAGGAGAAGGGCATCCAGAGGAGCACAGAGACGGGCATGGCCGTGGAGCTTTCCAGGAACATGAGCCGCCAGCCCAGCAGGGAGTCGAACAACGGCAGCATGAACAGCTGCAACTCTGAGGGAAAGTAAGTAAACCACAATTCTCCTCCTGAAAAACAGATAAGATTTATCAGTGATCTACCTGAACTTCACGAGGAACAAATTTGCTCTGTTTTGTTTGTGTTTTCTGTATTAGTTTCTGTGTTAGTTTAAATCTGGGTGCAAGCAGCCAGTTCAGCGATTTCCTGGATGGACTGGGACCAGCACAGTTGGTGGGCAGACAAACTCTGGCTACTCCTGCCATAGGTACTAAATTGTCACACTTGTTTCTGCTGTTGTCTTTTTATTCAGCTTATTATTTCTCCTCTCATTTATTTGTCCCATTTATGCTATCAATATTTCTCTCTCCTCCCATTGCTTTAAGTCATTTGCATCTTGTCTGCCTGTCTATTCTTCCTCTCTCATAACTAACATTGTTAGTTTTTGAATACATTAAGAATTTTTTTGGTTTATTTAAATATGTTTTTACTGTGTAGTTCTTTGTTCAGTTCTAATTTAGTTTTCAGTTATTTGTTTTGTTTCGATAAAGATTTTTTTTCCATTTGGTTATTTTTTGAAGATACCTACCATCAGTTGTTTTGTGTTTATTTAGACAAATAGATGTCGTTTTCTCTGTCCAGTCATTTACCACTTCAGGAGCTTCCCATTGTCTTAGCAAAGCTCTGAGGTAATAGCTTAGCTACTGTCCTGTTTGGTCTGGGTTCACAGCATCACATCTTCTTCTCCTTCCATCATTTGAACCACTTGTCGTTCCTCTCAGCAAGCATTGCTCTGTCATTCCTCAGGTGACATTCAGATTGGAATGATAGAGAAAAAAGGGCAGCTGGAGGTGGAGGTCATCAGAGCTCGAGGACTCGTACAAAAGCCAGGATCCAAATCTCACATGTTACTACTACTATTCTGCTAGATGATTTGCACATCTGCACTCTACTCACATGAGTAGCAATGGCTGCTTCTTTAGCCCTGGTCCAACTCTTTTTTTTTTTTTTTTTTTACTTTGCTGATTATTTGCAAAGCTGTTTTCAGCTGTTTTCAGTGCTATGAGATGGTCGTATAATAAAACTTAAATAGCAGCTGGTACATCGAGCATTTTGATACTGCCAAGAACTCTTGAGTTTGCAATTGTAAAAACTGACTTTTTCATTCTTCTTAGCCAGTTGCTCAAGTCAGTCATATTGAGTATGGGGGGCATTTGTGAGTATCCTTTTTCAGAGTAAAGAGTGCCAAATGCAAATGTATGGCAGACCTTTCAGACTGTTGATTTTAAAAACCAGTTGAAAATCCTGTATTGAACAATTGTGCTCTTCTTTATGTTGGTCTTTCACATTAAATCCCAGTAACACTGAAGGGTGTGACCGTGACATTCCAAAATATGAAAAAAGTTCAATATACATTTTATGAGACACTGTCGGTGCTCTGCTCTCTTTTGCTTTGTAATGTTTATATGGTCTGAATATTTTTTTCTTTTTCTTTTTCCTTCCAATTAGACTAAAACCAGTCTTTTTAAAAGAAAATCTGGATCAGATTCTGTGTTTTCAGAACATTTTATTGTTTTTCTATTCTTTAGCTCCATATGTCAAAGTCTACCTTCTGAATAATGGAGCATATGTAGCCAAAAAGAAGACTAAGATTGCACGGAAAACACTTGACCCCCTGTACCAGCAAGCACTGCTGTTTGAGGAGAGCCCACAGGGAAAAGTCCTACAGGTGAGTGCCATATTTTTTTTCTTCTCCTCATCACATGACTGAGCTGAGTAGCTTAAAGCAAATCTTCTCCCTCAGGTTATCGTTTGGGGTGACTACGGCAGGATGGACCATAAAAGCTTCATGGGAGTTGCACAGATCCTGCTGGATGAGTTAGACTTGTCAAACACAGTCATTGGTTGGTACAAGCTGTTCCCTCCGTCCTCTTTGGTCGATCCGACGCTGGCATCCCTGACACGGAGAGCCTCCCAATCATCTCTTGACAGCTCCTCGGGACCGCCTGGCGTTCGAACCTAGTGGAGCAACAGCGCTACACTATCCCAAGTAGGAAAGGGGGAAAAAACTTAAGAAAAGAAGCTGAAGAGAGAGGCCCATACAATAGTAGGTAGAAACATAGAACAACAACAATCAGAAACGGTCACAGCGAGAAAGCTTTGTTGAAATCTGACAATCACTCCTGCCGCAGTTATTTTCGCCTGTTGTAAGGAGCGTCATATTTCGGTGTTTCGTTTCCATTCAAAGAAAAATCTCATGGTTTATCTCTTGTTCTCCAGTCGGAATATGATTGCTATGAGTGTCAGTGAATCAAAAAGAAACAGGGTGGTTTTTAACTGAATCAACCTAGCAAAGAAATGTACGTAAGCATTGGAATGTATGGCCTCTTGACAAGAGGTAAAATCCCTTCGCTGACTGCAGGGGGCGCAGTCCTTTCTGCAGTGGCCTCCTCCAGAAGCCCATCAGACTGCCGGTATTCCTGCTCTCTCTCCCCATCAGGATGCCGCCCTGCCCTCCCCCGCATGGGTGTTCAGTCTGGAAGCACAGGGCCTTCTTCTGGTGCCTCGATCACTGGTCCCTTTCTTTGTCAAGATGTTCTCTTTTCAACATGTTTACCATGGCTACTCTGGGGCCATAGTCTTTTAAGAGTGAATTGTGGCGTTCCTTTCTTTCCTTTTGTTACTACAGGCACAAAATGTTTTTGCAGTGTGCAAAATGTTCATGATATGTGGTCAGTCTGAAGTGTGCATGATGAAAACAAGAGATTTTATAAGGACACAAAATTTAGTCTGCGGCTCTTCTCCGGGATGATGGGTAATAATAATACAGATGGTCCACCATCTTGCCTCTGTGCTTTCACTGAGTTCACCTGAAAATATCCTGGGTGGAACAATGGAGATCTTGCTGCACATAGGAAAGCCTCATTTGTCAAATGCTGAAATAAATTTGTGTGCAGAAATTGTTGCAGAAGAAGTCCCACGTGTGACCACGTGGCTGGAGACCATCATTTATATACCACACTCATACTTATTCAACTTTTTATTCATCTCAGTTACAGAATGCAATAAACAGAAATCGTCAAATCTAAATTTCTATGGTTTTAAAGTTACAGCCTCAGAAAAGGGATGATAAACCATGAAAAAATAGATTTCTGCAAATGTTGTCAAGCATTTTCAGTTTAATTATTCTTTCCAAACAAAAATATTTAACAATCATCTATTAGACATGCTGCATGTGGTCCACTGTGCTATAAACAGCCCTTTGACCTGTATCAGTTCATCACATGGCAGAGCACCACACTAAACCCGACTGTCCAGCGCAGTATTGTTCAGAGCTTCACAGGCTAAAATGAATTCCCTCACTTTCTTGTACATGTATTGCAGAGATCCTCTTGCAAACCAACCTCTCCTTAAGAAGCTCAAAGTATCCCTCACAGAGGCTCATGTCTTTTTGTTTACAATGTATTTTAGCATATTTTAGGAGAAGAAATGCAGAACTACAGACAGGAGAGTCCTGCAAAATCTGGCATTTATTCCCCTAAATCCTCTCCTTTCTTGGAGATGCAGCAAATCTCCTAGTGATCCTCTAAGAGTGTTACCAAGCAACTGAGCCGAGAATGGAGGCAAATTGATGGACCGAAGCAGTGACATGTCAGATTTTTACACCCAATGATGAGATCAATGTTCAACTACTTGTCTTTGATTAATTGTGTTGTAGGCCTCCCAGGGGGTTGACAAATAAATAAAGATTATGTCATTTTGAAATGTGGAAGGGAGATAGTATCACTGTCAGATAAAAATAAATAAATGCTGTTGTTCACCTATGCCAGAGCTGGATTGGACCATGTAACTTCACATTTTTGAGGGAGTGCCTTCCCTCACCCCAGCACGTTAAAGGTTTTTATTCAAACCTGAGTTTATCTTGTTTTTAATACAAGCACAAGAGCTTGATTTTTTACTAGAAAAAGTTTAACTTTTCAACAAAAAAAACATGTAGTTATGAAAAAGGAAAAAAAAAAAAAAAAAAAAAAAAGCAACAATCCCGTTGGTTCGGGTTACTTATTTTGTCTTGAACCAGAAAAGAAGAATAGATGCATGAGTTTCCTCATGCATCTATGTGAATATGAAAGTCGGGACACCAACACTCATATGCCAGTCTGTCTGCAGACGCCTCCCGCCACCACGTGGGGCGGAGCCGGCATGACTTGGGAATGCATTCCAAGCTGCATGCACTTCTTTTTGTTTTCTTTTACTTTTTTTTTTTACCTTTTTTTTTTTTGTAAAACCGATACAGAAAAAAAAAACAAACACTGACCTTGATGCGTGTTAGTTCCACGTACTGTAGGGCCGCTTGTATGTTGCATGCAGTTGTGCAGTTTGCTCGTACTTGAATATTAAAGAGATAAAAACCAAGAAGCCATTCCCATATCGCAAAAGACATTTGAGCTCAGCTGGAGTCTGTTCCACGTCCCTCTGTCTGGTGCTGAATGTCTCTCAAACTGAAACCGGAGATTATGCTGATGTCTTTCCCTGATCCTCTAGAAGATGTACTGTACTGTACAGTCATACTGAGCAGAGCTCACAGCCCCTCTTACTATTATTATTCCACTTCACAGTATACCTCACAAGGGGCTGAGGTGATGTATGAATAAATATGTACAAATAACATCAAACTATATGGAAATAATTATGTTTTAAAATAATTTCAGATATGGTGACACATGGGCTTTTAAGTTATACAGCGTATAAACAGAGAATCATATTATTCAACAGCCGACTATCGATTACTGTACAAGGGGCCAAGTCATTTAAGTGGTAATAATTACATACAATTAGGGACCACGCAGATGGACGCATCAAGGTAACGGGTTACAAGGTGTTATACAGTCTGAACACTGAAACCGAAAGGGCCAAGTTCAATCCCTCTTCGCAAGCGTTTTCTTTGCATCGTCTGGTGAAGTCCACCTCCGGTCCCCCATCACCTTTGTTTTTGTCAGTATTAACAGGAGAAAAAAAAATTGCTAATTGTTTACAATCTTCTGTATTCCACTGAAGCAATGAGAAAATTAGAGAATAGTAAAGCATTCACTGCAACAATTATTGTTTGTATAACAGATGTGGCTCAAATGATGTGTATGTTTTATATATATATATATAAAAAAAATTCATTTTTATTATTTACAAATAAAAAAACGAATGTGTGGAAGAAGTTTGTATCGTTTGAGTTTTTGCCAAGTGCAATTGTTCTGGCACCAATATTAGTATATTACATAAATCCAATATACATCCACCTACAGCACAATTATACACTACTTTGTATTGGTCTTCAACATAAAATCCTAGTAAAGTACATAAATGCCTGTGTGTGAAAAATGTGAACAGCTGCAAAGGGTATGACTAGTTTTGAAAGATACAGTAAGTCAAGTAACTGAGGGTTTTCTTAAATGAGAATTTTTTTTTGGCCTAATACTTGAGAGAGTGACTGCTTTATGAAAACAAGCATGCAGGAGTGCAGCATAACAGAGCGATGTAGTGGGCCTGAAGTCAGAACTGAGTGCTTGTTACATGTGATCTGAACAGGAAAAGGAAGCCCAACACAACGTCGCCGCCTAATTTTTACCACTCAGCTGTGAATGATATCACCAACATGAAATGTACTCCACCCTACTACACTGGGAGGACATTGCAACACGCATATATGTTTATTCACTCGTATATACAATTATTGAAGTGTGTAATTGACTAAAAAGAGAAAAGAATAGCAAGCGCTAAAATTGTGAGAATAGTAATTTTAGCGCTTGCTATTCTTTTCTTTTTTAGACACCATTCTGTTGTTGAGTAGCTTTACACTTTTCTGCTGACTTCGCACAATGCAGCTAACTTTTAAGGCATTGTTTTCTCCTCTAAAGAAAAATAGCTTTTACAAAAAAAAAAAAAAAAATCTCCTCTTGACTTTAAAGGGGAGAAAATGTTAAAACTGCTTTGACATACGGGAAAAGTAAGAAGCAAGAGAGTTCCAGTCATGTTCAAGCCTTTTTAGTTCAGTATCCCTGTTTATATTTTAAGATCACTTTCAGGATGTTTTTTTACCTCATTCATTGTTGTCCCGCTAAACTATGGCTTTACGTTTATGTGCTTTTTCTTCCAGTTCATTGGTAAACCAATAATTTCAGTAAACAAGCCATAAAACGAGAAAAAACTGAAAACAGCAGTGTTTGTTGATAAACACTCATCACACCTCTGCACCCCAACATTTTCTGATTATTTCAATGCTGTTATGTTTCCATATAGGAAGTCAGAGTCTCATGGCCTCATGCGTGACCTAACATGTTATACAGTGCAGCAGAGAGCTTGAGAGATTTATGTTCTTCTCATTAAATAAACAGAGGGCCTCTTGAAACAACATCTGCAGGCAATCTTAACTAATCCTCCCAGCACACTTGCCATGCCAGCCGGGCCCCCGGGCCTTCTCTGTTCCCTTCGCTGCTGCACCAGGGGTCACGGCCCTCTGGTTCAACACATGGATGGAGGCCTTGTGGAAAAGGAGAGAGCTGATCACATGTCATGTTAGACGCCACAATAAAATTTCCATCTCGCTCTATGGAAAAAGATTAATCAAATCAGGTCATAAGTACCACATGAGTGGAAAGAGAAGACTTGCAAATATACATGTCACAAATGTAGCTTTATTAAAATCCGTCAAGATGTTCTTCCCAAAGAAACTAAACGAATCAAATGAAAACTTAGAGCTCCTAATCTGCAAACCTTCTGCTGACTCAAAGAAACTCTGAACTGTTTTGATGTTTTCCATGGAGATGTGAGACAGGGTGATTCTGGAAACTACGTTTGAAAAAAATGACATGTCTACTCCGTTTTAAGATTCTGAGTTCATCATTGCTTTCCCACACCAGAGCAAGATAACAATAGCTTGCACTCTGACATACTAGTCAAGAGAAATGAATGCAAAACTTGAACAGAAAGCCCTCTGATTGGTCTGCCTCACAAAACCAAACACCAGCATCTGTTGCGGTGTTTCAGGAACAGATAATGTGGTTCTTGCATTTAAGACACAATTAACAGCGGCATTAAGTTTGTGGGTTTTGCTCTAATAAACCATATGTGTTCCTCTAATGTTGAAAGGCTTTTTTTTACTGGTCTCTTTTGTTGCTCTACTTCTCATCTTCTAATAACAAGACAAAAAGTTAAAGACTCCAACAAAGTGTCCTTGTGACACCACCATCACTTTGTAAATCCAGAGATCTCAGTGTTGGTCTTCTGACTGGGTTTAAATATTCCAGACTCATGCCATGTAATAAAATCTTTCACCTCTATAAACCTCATTTCTGTGCTGTGCTCTGTTCCTTACATATGAGCAGTTTTTCTATCATAATATGATCTCCGTCTTGGTGCACAGTTGAGAATCCCTAACATTCTCTTTTGTGTATTTCCTGGTGTTTCTGTGGCTTTGATGAACATTTGCGTGCCAGGATGCTGGTAATAGGTCTCCAGATGGCTTTGAAGAAGCCTCCAGCAGTGTGTAACGGCCTCAGCAACGTCAGCCTTTCCCCAGAAGCCTTTGGTCAGCTGCTCAGAATACGCTCCAGCATAGCCGTCCTGAGAGAAATGAAGCATCCTTGAGTGTTGTCTACACTCCAGCTGTGCAGATCTGAACATTGTGGAAGGGACTTTGTTGAACAGCTGGAGTAAGAACAGGAAGCCAGAATGTGTCTTGCGACAGGCACCAAAACATGTCTTTTAAGTTTACTTCTGCTGCTATAGAGATTCATCTGTCAAAGCTAGGCGTCTTAAAATAAAGCTGAAAATGATCCATGGACTAGTCTAAGTCACTTGACAAAGAAAGAAACGTCCACAGGAAAACTCCACCTTACCAGCTCTCGGGTTGGTAAACATTACAGGTCAGACTTGGAAAGGGCAATGGGGCAGAAAAAAAATCCAAAATCTGCAAGGTAATAATCACGGCACAGGTACATGCAGCCATCTTTACAAATTTAGGAAATTTAGGAATAGGTGTTGTACTAATGCCTCCTTTTTTTCTTTTTTAAAGCTCTTGGTGTCTTGGGAAATTTCTCAAACTTGTATCAGTGGAGCCTGAACAGAGAGACGGCCGCCAGCAGATGGCATCGTTTCGTAAGAAGACTAAATCCGGCAGGAGGAAACTTCACTTGCACTTTCTCTGCAATGAACTCAGAACTCACCAGAGCGTCACTCATTGCAAGCAGGTGATTGTTTTTTTTTTTTTGTTTTGTTTGTTTGTTTGTTTTTGCGACAGGACGCTGAGTGAGATCTGCTTCTTCGAAATGCGATGATCATAAAGGTCAGGTCGATGCGGAGAGGAAAGGAGACAGTCAGACACGACAAAAGCGGCGTCGACGGGTAAGGAGGAGGAAGTTCACACGTGGAAACGTAACTGACGCTGAGGTCCCCACGCGACACCTCCCCTCCCCCCTAAAAATTTCACTTCAAATGAAAGAAGAGTTTCTCGTTCTGGGCAGCCCTTTATTTATTTTTTTACCCACACTTTAATAGAGACTCCATCATATGAATACGTTAACCAGAAAGGGGATTTCGTTCATAATCACATCCTGTAAAGATGTGTCGTGGCAATATAATATTAAAAATAGTATAATAGCAATCCAGCACTTTTGTGTTGCATTGTTTAAGAGATAAATACAATCTGAGGTCGAAGATAAAGCGTGATGTTTGACATTGCTATAAACTTAGTCCGGAACTTTAGTGGGAAAGCAGCATAAATGCGTCGGTTACTCATTTGCATCAGATCTGCCTCGGCGCGCTACAACCTCCTCTTCCTCCTGACAACAAAGAAACTTGGGAGTCAGGAGGCCTTTATTCTTAAATGAAAAGCAGAAACAAATGTGATGCAGAGAGAACAGAAGAACGCATCATGCGCATGAATCTCGCCTCGCTGTAGCGCGGACACCCTGCAGTCTGTCCCTACCAGACAGGCACACGTGGGCACCTTTTAGGCGCGCTGGGTATTTGTGTACACTAGGATGTTGATGTAAGGGGGGTGGGGGAAGAAGAGGGCGGTGAAAGAGTGCCGGGCCACTGTCGGGCGCAGCTGCTCTCACTCTCAGCTAAACGCCTCACACGTGCGGAGAGGACTGTAGTGCGTATCTGACGCTATTGGAGACCCCTCCGCGCACTTGTTGCCAGCTTTGGTGATGCCATGCCCAGGAACCACAGCGGAGACGAAGGCGGAGGCGGAGGTGGAGGCAGCGGGCTCTGGATGAGAGCATCACCCAGACATCATAACGAGGGCTACGGCATAAAAGATGTGGAGTGCGGACGAAAGATGATGATGAACAACGCGGGAGATGGGTTGCTGTCCCCTTCTGCCACCACCGCAGCCAGCGGCGGCACCAGCGCCGCTGGTGGTCGCGGCTCGGACGGCCTGGCAGGGAAGCAGGGAGCTCGACTCAGCCTCCTGGGAAAGCCGCTGGTGTACAGCGCCCAGAGCGGCCGAAGAAACGTGCGCTACCGGCGGCTTCAAAACTACCTATACAACGTCCTGGAGAGACCCAGAACCTGGGCGTTCATCTACCACGCTTTCGTGTAAGTTCATCTCGCCGCTTCCACGCGCAGACATCAGATTAGACGCGCTGAAGTTTACGCACCTGTTGAGCCGATCGGAAATTGAAAAGATAAAGGCCTCAAAGCGTACTTTAAGTTTCGTTTGGATGTGCGTTGATGGCCAGCGGGCGAGGAAACAGCGGAGTTAATTTAGCCCGCAAAATCCCACAGCTGGATGTTCATCAATAGAGGAGAAGCGACAGTCACAGCCAGACGAAGGCATAGTAGAACTAAGGAGATGTTTGGGTAACCAAGTAGGATTTGCAAAATCTAGTTATATTGTAAGAGGCATACACCGTTATTCTTGTCTTAAATAATTATCATTATGTTTCCAGATTGGCAAGGCTAAAATTACATTTCTCATAAACAAACATGTTTAAAATTTTGATTTTAAAATATTTTGTGGCAGATATAAGTCAAAAAAATTCAAAGATTATGTCTGCAACAATTAGACTTTAGTGACTCACTATTGGATCAGTTTCTAACTACATAATTGGGAGACTTAACTTCATAGGTCAGTCCAAGAACGGATTATTTGTTCTATTTATTCATGTTTTAATCATAAAATAGCTCTATGTGCACAGTGTTATGTTACCAAATTTTCCCCAAAACTGTAAGTAAAAACAAACCTTGTTTTAAATAAAAATTATAAATTAAGCTAAGCAGAGTTGGGCCCCTGGCTTTAGGTCACATTTTTTCTTGTGTTGATGTAACAACTATGTGATGTGATTGCATTATGAAAGTGCTTTGCTAAAAGTTCTGCATTTCTGTGGGCTTTAGTGATGATGTTTCAAACAGACCTGGAGTCAACAGACACTGAAACATCCTTTAGCTCTGCAGATTCTTTTTTTCTCTTGACTTTTCCAGTCAGTCGCTGCTGTTGTTGCAAGATCATAACTGTTTCTCAGAGGAAGGAAGTTGAGACACATGTCGACTCTAGAGTACAACGTTCTTAACGTTTGTGTGGTTTTACTGGTGTGTGGATTGTTAGTTTGTTCTCAAGAGGAAAACCCGTTCTAATGATTCTCAAATCAACTTTTTCCTGATTGTCATCAGTGCTGCTGGCTGGATGGCACTCATGTTTTGTGTGAGCACTACAGGCTGTTGATCCTGGTACTAATATGTCAAATGTCCAAAAGATTTGAAATAAATGCACAGACATTGCAGAAGGCAGCAAACTGAAATGTGTTAAAAATGGAGCTCATAAGTCCGGGGCATCATATGAGAAAAATTCTGAGTAAATAAACTTTTTTCTAAAACTTTTTATAAAAAACTTTTCTGACAAGTCATAATGTTTTTAGCAAGAAGAATGCATCTAATGTGCATTTTTGCAATACTGGAGAAATGAGAAAGTGGAGTTTGAGTTGACAAGTTTCTAAAATTGATCAACTCAAAATTTATTGCATATGCTTGACAGTAAAACAAAAAAACAAAACAAAACAAATCAGCAGACACTGAAATCATAAAATGAATTATTTTATGTCGCATTTCCCACCTCCCAAAAATCTGAGTAATATAAAAAATATCATTGGAGAAAAGCATGTTGGAGCCAATTAATTCAATAGAATCAATAGAACTGCACAAAACATTGAAAAAATAGATGAAAATCTAGTAATGATACTGCAATTTTGTTTTCTCTAAATATCATCCAGTCCCAATTGCATTACATTTGATCATTATAACACATGCCAGTGATGTTTTGGAAGCTGCACAATATACGTTCCTACATGGGCAGCCATATCTTTTTGATGCTTATACAACAACAGCTTCAAATTAACAGGGAGAGGTTTGCTCGATTCTAAGCTAACGTTTGTGTATTTTCTCTCTGTTTTGATGTGGCTTGTTGATCATTTTGCTTGAAACATATTTCATTGTGGCTCCAGGTAACTATTCATTGAAGAAAAACTGTTCTCCACCCGTTAGCTTAGGACTGTGCTTTGAAAATCAGAAGATTTATTATTTAGTGTTTCAGCTGCTTTCCCCAATTATACACTTTGTGAATGCTGTGAACAGATCAGGTCAGAGGCGACGCATTGATAGTTCAGTTTATTTTGACGATACAAAGGTGATAAAGATAATTTTCGATACTCTGATCAGGATTCTTGTCTTGATTAGGACATTGAAACCATAATGCCAAACCAATCATCATTTTACTTCATGGTTTTCTCTAAAGACAGACCTGCCATTTCCAATTCTGACCATGTAAATTAGTTTTTACAATAGATTCAAAACATACAAGAGAAACATGTGCTTCAGATTCAGTATGTCTGTATATATATCAAATATGAATAGATAATCAACTTGAAAATAACTACTGTTAATATTTCCTAAAATGTGGTGGCTTTGTTTAAAAATAAAAAGACCTACTTTCACTCTGTTGGCTATTCTAGTTTATATTTAAAAAGCAATTGAAATACTTGTATTTCAATAGCTGACGTTGAGCAGGTCTCATTCACTTGCACTTTTTGAATCACTGCACGTTTCAAGCCAAAGAGCGTCATTCCTATATGTTTGCATAGTAAGGAAGTTTAATTGGTCTAACATTGTTCTTCATGTGGCATCTGTCTCCCTTTTCAATATCGTCCTTCCCTGGAACTTCAACCAGAACTAAAGAACAAAAACAAAACTTGTTGTTCTGTTTCCTTTTTGTCCATTAAGCCATTCCTTCAAAAAGTTACAATATAAATAGAAATGACCAGATCTTATGAAAATATTGACACACAGGGATCTTTTTCAAGCATTACAGATTTCTTTCTCCAGCATTGGGAAAGTTCGACTGGATGGCTGTGAACTTGGTGAATGACCCTCTTTCATTCCTGCGGCCATGAGCTACAGCTGGAGATGAAGCTGAACTCTAACTCCCAGCCCATCTACTTGATTTGTCATGAGTGCTTTCGGAAGATGGACAATTCTTGCAGTCCAGCACCTTCACTGTCAGTGGATGTTGTTATTAAAAAGGGGATATCCACTATTAATTTTACTCCCATTGAAACAAAATGTAAAAAAAACAAACAGTTTAATAGTGTAGCTGTAAAAATGATTTTGCGATTTTCTCAACTGAAGATAATGCGGCTGTTGTTTCTCCTGGTCCATGTCTTCTGTTTAATTGAATATAAACATATTTTTCTAAAGATGCACTTAAATTATCCGCAGGGTTATTTTTATAATAATGACCGAAGTGAACAAAGTTGATGAAATAGTCAACTGTTGAAAAATACACAAAGACACAGTTATTTGCAAGAAGTCTGTTTGTGTTTTGGACAATGTTTTCAATAATTTCTGTGTTGGTGAAGCACTTGATTAAAAATGCATAATTTTGCCTGATTGTGATTATAATATCAATGTGTCTAGAGGCCTCATTAAACTAGCACCTGAGGGTAGTGGCTGGGATTGTTCCAAGAAAAATTTCATTCATAAAAAAAAAAAAAAAATAGAAGTGGACTTTTGTAAAACTGAAAATATCCTGTCGGATGGGATGTTGCGCATGCATTTAAAGAAGTATACATTTCAAAACGTTATGCATAGTAAAGGCTTTCACAAACAATCTGAGTGCCCAGAGAGATCATTTAAAAAAAAATTCAGCAGTTAAGAGGTGTAACACCTGTGATGCTTTTAACATCAGGATCATAGAAAGGGATAATCGACTTTCGAACCACCTTTAGGTTCCCTTCACTCAGTAACACGTTCAGAAAGGAAGATTGTTGTTACATAATTGACTGAGACATTGTGCCTTGCCTGATTGGAAAACGGCAGATTTGAAAGATTGAAGTTTTCAATTGGCTCTTATTTGGTGAGGTTTGCTTAGAGTGAAAATATCTCGATATAGGTTGCTTCACGTCTGCTGATTACTTTTTCCACTTCTAGATATTTTTTGTTCAAAGGCAAGTGAAATAAAAACATTAATTTGCCACAGTAATAATGGAGATGTTTTCAGTTTGTAGTTCAGATAAAGAAAACTAGAAAACCATTTCTCACATACAGGTAGATTTTTTTAAATACTGTAGTACTTTCTTTTAAGAATAAATTACTCTGAAAAATTTTCATCTTAGAGTCAGACCAAACTATGATTAGTCTTTACTGTTAAGCTATTTTCTTTGCATCATATTTTAACTGGTGGAAATCAACACACATTATTGGATGGTTTCTTATCTTGCTACTTTTGAAAAATAGCTAATAATAATGGGCCTCCTTATCATATTGTAGGAAACAGAAGGTCATGGACTACAAATTGAAAGTTTCTGTCTCCTTCCTCCGTGCTCAAAAGTGTCATAGCATCTTTTAAAAGCAAAGTGCTTTCACATCCACATTTCACAGTAATGAAGTTATTTTGTGTGATACATTTCAACTACTTTGTTATTTACTTCACTTATGTACAGAAGCTTGTGCATGTTTAGCTGATTTTTATGTGGAAAAAAAATAAGATACGGCTTTACGAACAGTTCATATAAATTTAACTATGAATGTGTCAGATTTTAATTGGCTACTCCGTCATGATTCAAACAATATGGTAGCTTGTATAAACTGTTTAACAGCTCAGAAAGTGTTTTTACTGAATGGAAAATGGCATTAACAGGGTGTCTGATCATGCTTTCTGACTCCACTGTGGTTTTTTTTGTCTCTACTCTCCTCTCTGTCTGTTCTCATCGACATTTAGTCGAGGTCTCAAAAAGCTTTGTGGGCTGGTATCCATTAAAGTAACATGCATGTGATTTCCTGCAAATTTCCAGAGGATCATTGCCTTGTGACAAGATAATAGCCTCACTTCACCTGTCAAGTGTTTTGCTGTATATGTTCTGGACATAAATGTAATTATTTAGTTCACAGAAGCAAGATGATTTTTATTTTTTTGTGAATGGTATGAATTATTTTTTTTTTCCAGTTCATAAAGGGGTAGATTTAAAATTATATTGTACAACCCAATACAAACAATTAGAAAAAATATCAGGTCTAAACAGCTATCAGCAGGTCAGGAACTGGAGAAT